GGAATTAGAGGGGATGGAGAAAACAGTATATGCAGAAACACCAAGGTAGGAAAGAACTTAATATTTGAGGAACCAACAGGAAACTGTTGTGACTAGGGAAAGATGTACCAAGAAGAGGTAGGATTTGATATTTACAAGGCAAACTGATAAGCCAGAAAATTGTAGCTACAGGTGGCTCTTAGTGTTCAAGCTCTCGGCCAAGAATTGGAAAGTGTGACCTTTCCTACCAGATTAGTCCAGACTCCTAGAAAGGGTAGTTTCTAAAAACAAGTTAATCCTTTCTTTCTTGCCCATAGGAAATAGCATTGATAAGGCCCACATAGCCAATCACCATGGCCCCAATGTTAGTCAGCAGTAGCCTGTAGTGGCTACAAGAAGAAATTACTAAGTGGGATAATTATTACCCTAAAAACTTGCCTAACTGAGCATTGTGCAACCTGTTTTGGGAGTTCACCAGCACAGTTGTGTTGACACAGATGATGATGATGATGATGCATGCTGAGACTTGTCTGGATTGAAGATTTAGTAGTATGGCAGGGTACAGAAACAATATAGCTTCCCCCTCTTCACCGTGTGTGCTAGGTAGCCCATAACTTAATGCTCTCTTCTCTTCTCCCTGCAGACAGAAACTCATTTGCATCTCCTCTCTCCTGTATTCTACTGTCTGTCTAGTCTTTACATGCAGTGTTGACCAGGTCTTCCCTCATTTGCCTTTGCCTGTCGTATGAATCCTATTCAAATTTAAATCCTCAGACCACCCTTAACCTTTCCTTCTTTAAAATCCTATCCAAAGAAAGCACTGCACATTTTGTTATCTTCTGTGTAGACTTAACTATAACTTCATCCTATAGTGGTCCTCTTTCCTCCAATCCAAGCTGCTGTTTTCTTGCCATGCAGTAGTGAAAAAACCCAAAAAGCCAGCATGTAACTAACTAATCTTCCTATGGAATCATGAAGAACTTTTCCTATTCTGATACCTTGTGACCCTCTGCCCTTACTACTTTATACATGCACGTTCTTTTATCTTGTGCACCTATGCTTTCTAGGTGTGCTGTAAGTGCCCAGGATCAGGGACTTGGTCTGTAAATCTTGAACAAAGCTGGGGATGTATAATTAGCTGTGCTGCTTCAGAGGACATTAGATATAGACTCAGACTGATCAGGGTTTGAATGACAGCATTCCCATTCACCAGCTCTGTGAACTTGGGAAGATTATTTCCTTTCTGAGGAATAATTTTGTTTTCTCCCTGTCCGCCCTGTCCTTATTCTGAGGAATAATTTTGTTTTCTCCCTGTCCTCCATCCTCCTCTCCTTTCCTCTCCCCTTCTTGGTTTTTGTAGTTTTTTTTTTGTTTTTTTTTTTTTTTGTCTTCCTTTCCTTTCTTTCTCTTTAAGCACAACTAAATATGTTTTGTTTCTGCAATACTGGGGATTAAACCCAGGGCCTTAAACATGCTAGAGGCAAGCACTTTACCTTGTTTTTCCCTGTTAAGCTTTTACATTAGTTCTCTTCTAACAGGGTAGGGACATGAAAAGTACAGTATCTTACACATTCCTTTGTGTATTTTGGAGCAAAATTGTAGCCAACTAGATTACTATTTCCGGCATTCTAAATTTTAGAACTGGTTGATAGATTTGTAATAACAAGGAAAAAGTCTGACAGAAATGAGACTGGGAGGCAACATTTTTCTGAAGAAGTGTCCCTGAACCTGAGGAAAAAAGTGTTCCATCCTGTAGACAGTATGCTGTTAGATCTGTAGGTTTCGTGTCTTTACTGCCTAGTGTCTAACATACTTAGTTCTTCATAAACCAGTTCATACATAGTTTCTCACAAACCAGTCTCATTGAAAAACAGTGAACCATAACCCAAAAGTACATTTCCATTTTGGACAGTAGTTTGCAGTTGTAAGTTTTCCAGTAATCCCATTGTGTGAGTCCTCATTTTAATCCACCTCCTCTGTCCTCTCCCCTTCCACATAGCTGTGTGCACTGGGGAAAAAAACAGGACATGCACAAGTAGCTTGATATGGTCAGGTTCACACCTGCAGTCTTTGTTCAGAAATTTTGAGAAGGCAACCCCAGCACTCACTACCTCACAGGGCATGTTAATGGACCACTCTGCTCCTGTTTCCTGAGCTATAAATGAGGTGTGTGTGTGTGTGTGCGCGCGCGTGCGTGAGACAGCCCCAAGAGCAATGCTGTTTCATGGTAGGCAATCCATGGCCACTGGTGTCTTCCCGCAAGAATGCCACATTTCCATTCTGAAGAAATATTATTTTGCCTAATTACTTATTTAATTATTTTATGGTAGTATTTCAGTGGCTGGATATTATAATGCATAAGAAATGTATATGAGATACTTTTAAAGACATAGTGCCTTATACTCAGATTTATCATAGAGCCTCAATAAAGAAAATAACAGCTAACTTGGTCTCATTCTGTAAGCCAGTATATTTTGGAGGTAGCGTAGCTGTTTAAGATAGTGTGAGTACGTATAGTAGCCAGGACTCAATAATTTCCAGGTTACAACAGCTCTTCACCTACTTGTTGATCATGTGTTTATTTCTCAATCCCACTTGCATCCTAATAACACAGCTGTCATTGCTTTGAAGTAACATTTTGCTAGAAGAGCAAAGTTTTCGGTGATGACATCATCTGCCCTGGGGGAGATGACTGCTGTTGAGTTCATGCTCTCCCTCCCTCCATCTTCCCCCCCCACCCCCCACTCCTTCACTCCCTCCCTTCCTTGTTTTCTTCCTTTCTCTCTTCCTTGTTACCTCATTCATTCACTTCCTCCCTCAGTCCCACAATTATCCACTCACTCATTCACCCAAGCCTTTACTCTCTCATTATCTCACTCCTTCACTCTCTCAAGACTTTACTCTAACTCCTCCCCTCACTCATTCACTCCCTCTCTGCCTCCCTCCCTTGCTCTGTGTTAGTCAGCACTTTGAGTTGCAGCTGGCAGAATCTCATCTCCAATTATGCAAACCTTTCTCAGGTGACATCTCTTAGAACGGCTGTGCCACAAAGTGGGCTCAGGAGCAGTTGGGCTTCAGGAACAACAGGGACCAAGAATTTTATTGTCACTATGATTTTACTTTTCTCTCTGTGCACTTCTCATTTTTGCTCCATATGATTTTCCTTGCAAACAAGCCATCTCATCCTTTTGGTCCTGTGACAGTGTTCTGAGTGCAGTAATATGGAAAAGACAGTGATGTAGCTTGTGTTTGGTGCCCATCCTGGATCAGTCAGCTATGGCCAAGAGGGTATGGATATATAAAAATGTGATGATTCCTTCAGGCACTGTATGGATGGAATACAGGGAGCAGCAGAGAAGGGAGATGCCTAACACAGAGGTCCAGAGATCTCACATGCCCATCCTGCCATGCTGGATGCTGGGCTTTCCTACAGACACAAGACAAGGTCTCTAAACTGAGGCTGTCTGCAGTCAAGTAGTGGGAGATAGGTGTGCAGCCAAATACGTGTGACGGAGTGATGTTGGTTCTGTAGTAGTGGAAGTACAGGTTGAACAGGAGTAAGGAATAGATATTCAGTTAGGTTAGGTAGATACAACTAGCATCTGCCAGAAATGATGGCTCCATTGCTGGGCATGCTTAGGCCTTCTTCAAACGCACAGTCAGTTGAGTTGTTAGATGTTCCTACGGATAGTCTGGACATTTTCTAGGTACAGATATTATGTACTTTTTCATTCCTCATCAGACTGCTTTTTTTTTTTCCAGACTGCTTTTTTGAATTAATCATTGAGTGCTTTATTTTGAGATAGGGTCTTACTATGTAGTTCAGACTGGCCTTGAACTCTGGGTGATCTTCCTGCCACAGCCTCCTTAATGCAGGGATATAGGTGTGAGTCACCATGCCCAGCTTGCATATTGTTTTAGACAAAGGAAGAATGAAGGAGACCCTGACATTTTTTGACTCTTAGTAACTTGTCATGTTTTAGAGAATTCAAATGATCTAAATTTTAGTTTCTTTGCTAGGTATCTAAATTGATTTGTAAGGATCTCCAACTAAGACCAATTCATTAGTTTACTTTACAGCTCAGGTTGCTTGTCACTAAACTGCTTTTGTTAATCACAGACTCCTTGCTTTTTAAGAATGTAAGACATAGTCTTGTTCCTTGCTAACTGGCTTTAGTCAGTCTCATCGTTGCTGTAACAGTGGCCCGTATCACACCCACAGTGTGATGGTTATCATCATGCACTATTTTTCAAGCAGAGCAAACTGGTCCTTTTCCCATTTCCTATTATACTGGGCGGACTTTGTAACTCATACTCAGCACATTTTGTTCCAGTCTCTCTGTTCTTGGCCTTGCCTTCTATATCCGCACTTTACCAGGGATTTTCATTATTCTTCATCTCTTCAAAGATTTCTATCCTTGCTTGCTCTGATGTTGTTAAAAACTGTAGTTTTTGAGATAATTATAGTTCCATACATGATTGTAAGAATTGGTGGGAGATACTCAATGCTCTTTACCGTGTATTTCCCAATAGTAAGATCATTTTGCCAAACTCCTGTACAGTATCACAACCAGAACATTGACATTGGTACAACCCAGATTTGGAACAGTCGCCCTAGTGTTTTGATGTACGGGTTTTCTCATTTTTCTTTTTCTTATTAGTGTTTTAGAATGTCTATCTTCACTCTTCTCACTTGTTCCTTGTGCCTGGGGTTTAAAAAAGAGCTCTGTTTAAAAAAACAGATCTGTTAATCTGTTTAAAAAAAGATCTGAGTAAAAGATCTGTTTGGTGGGAAGGCTAAATTGTCATGTTGTCAGAGTTCTAGGGATAACAGTTTGTATTCTTGAAATGACTTGCTTGGGACACATATCGTTTGGATGGTTGAAGGTGGCCTTAAAATTCACAAGAAAGCCTGGACTGCTGTGAGCACGTCATGTGATGGTGAAGAGTATGTAGGAGCTGGTATGATACAAATTCTTGGAGACCTAAGGTCCCTCATCAGAGGTTCTTTCCTCCAAAAGGACAATTCTGCACAGAGGACGTGGATGAGTGCCTACTGCAGCCCAACGCCTGTCAGAATGGAGGCACCTGCACCAACCGCAATGGGGGCTATGGCTGTGTGTGTGTGAACGGCTGGAGTGGAAATGACTGCAGTGAGAACATCGATGACTGTGCCTTTGCATCCTGCACCCCAGGCTCCACCTGCATTGATCGTGTGGCCTCCTTCTCCTGCATGTGTCCTGAGGGGAAGGCAGGTGAGGCTAGCAGCAGGATGGAACTGGGGACAGGGAAGGGGGAGGTGGAAAGCACAGGGGGTTCCTGCCTTCTCTTTGGTCTGACAGCTATGTACTATGAATGTTCATCTGTAGTGGGGTATCTCTCAGGACTCTTCTTCTGGAAATGTAGTCTGCTGGTCAAAAGGCTTTGAAGGTGGTCTCCTTCCATAGAACTTTCACCTCTCTTCTCAGCTTCATGTCTTACTGATTTTTCATTGCAGACACTGAAAGCTAGTAACCATGGTCTTTGGAGATATGCAGAACTCTTCAAGATCTCAGAGTGAAAAAAATTCAAACTAGATGACAAATAAATGGATTCACAGATTTCATTTGAAAAAGGAATAATCCACTTACTCAGGAGTTGGCGGGAGAAGCATTGGAGTATATTTCAACTCTCAATGTCTTTGAAAATATTCCTCTAAGGGAGATTTTCTTCAGACTACAAAATTTGCTATACTGTGGCCTCTCGATTTAATAGCTTCTAGTTCTAGGAGTAGAAGAGCAATGTGGTGACAAATATGATGAGAAAATACAGTTTAGCTGAAAGAACTTACTGCCCAGAAGTTTTGAAATGTTCATATATTTCTCCCTTTCTGAAAGGCACACTTCTAGTTGTATGGGAGAAGCCTCAGTTAATTGCTGAGTGGAAAATGCAGTTCACACTAAAACTCTGAGGAACAGGAAGGCTTGCGGTGTCTTCCAAGATGTGGAGGCACCTGAGGACTGTGCCCTTAGAGGGCTGCTCTAGAAGAGGCTGATGGTGGTCATTCCATTGCTGCTTTCTTCTGAGGCCAGCGAACTGTTGGTGGCCCATGACCATCAGGTGGTGTGACACTGGAAAAGGTGGATGCCAGATAAAATACAGGGGCCTTAGAATGTTTCAGACACACTCATGCAAACACTCCTTGTTTTCCAGAAATTCGAATTTAACTGGATTTTACTTTTGTCTGCTAAATCTGGCACACTACAGAGGATGTGTCAATTTTTCCATATCTTCCTTCTAATTTTCTGTTGTGCCCCATGTGTCTGCCCTGAGGAGAGGTACAGCTGGGGGTTCTCTGCAGTACCAAATTGTTTTGCTGATGCCTTCTGTATGTCCCTGAGGTACATCAGACAAAGGGGAAGTTGACTCTAAATCTTAGTGTTGGATTTTAAGTAACTACTCATAAACTTTTCCCTCCCTGGTGAAAGAGAAAACTCTTCTCTAAGTGAGAGATATTTTCTTTCTTCTGTTTGTCTCTCCCCAACTTCCATTACCACCCTTTGACAGGTCTTTTATGTCATCTGGATGATGCCTGCATCAGTAATCCTTGCCACAAGGGGGCACTGTGTGACACCAACCCTCTGAATGGGCACTACATTTGTACCTGCCCACAGGGCTACAAAGGAGCCGACTGTACAGAAGACGTGGATGAATGTGCCATGAGTGAGTGCAGTGATCTTCCCCTTGCTTACAGTATGTATCGGCTCCATGGGAGTTTCGACAGGAGTGTAGTCTACCCCAGTAACATGTTATACCCAGACCTCAGATTTTCCTGATCATGCCCGCTGCTTCCAGATAACTTTGTTAGCTTAACCATAGACTTCACTCTGGGAACTAAATACATGGAAGGAAGACCTTACCCTTGATTCTTAATATAAAGTCCTAACTCTGTGACATTTAGACCAGAGAATAGCAGAAAGGCACACCAGTGGAGATTACCTTTGTCTTATTTCTTTCTTCAGATTAAGGAAGAAAGGAGAAAATTGAGAGTGAGCTCACCACAGCCCAGGCCATGGTGTAGCCAGCAGACAGCTCTGGTGTTCACATTTGTGGAAACACCGGCAGGTGCTAGGATCCCCAGTAACAAGTACTTGTGTCTTGCAGCCAACAGCAATCCTTGTGAGCATGCAGGAAAGTGTGTAAACACAGATGGTGCCTTCCACTGTGAGTGTCTGAAGGGCTATGCAGGGCCTCGCTGTGAGATGGACATCAATGAATGTCACTCAGACCCGTGCCAGAACGATGCCACCTGCCTGGATAAGATAGGTGGCTTCACCTGCCTATGCATGCCAGGTGAGTAGACCCGCAGTGCTGGTGTAAGTGCAGGGGCTAGCCTGGACTGACCTAGGGGAGCCTTGGGAACTGCTACAGTTCCATGCATGAAGGCTGCTTTTAATTCCCTGAGCGGACTCTGCACTGGAGGAAGATGGGAGTCCTGGCAAACCCCTCATGTACAGAGGGGAGCTTTGTAAGTACTGCAGTGCTGGAACCCCAATAGCAATGTAAAGCAAATTAAACAAGCTGATGATGTCAGAAGCCAAATGCATGTAATAGCAAATTTAAGAAATAATTTACCCTAAGAATCTCAAATAACAAGTTTGGTATATTACAAATACTTATAGAAAGGGATTTTACCCACAATTATATAGGAAATTTCCATTTATCTCAAGTGAGGCACAAGCCTAGTTGTGTTCTGCAGGGACCATTCTTACTCAGCAAGGATACAGCCAAGTTTAGCTTGAAGGGAGAGCTGAGGGCAGCTGTTGTGCCTGATGATGGATTCCAGCCACTCTGGTCTTGTAAGGCCCTCCTGACTTTGACCTACACTCTGTGAGTAACAGAAACTTCAAGTCAGCAGATCCTTAGGATAAAGTGGGGATCCATTGGGGCTGGCATTGTCCAGAAAGTATGGATTGGTCACAGAAAAGGTAGAAGTGTCTTTGTTTGCAGGTTAAGTCTCATTATTGTCTTTGGAAGTCACTCCTCTTTACACTGATAGGAATATATCACAATATCCCCTGCCAGTTTTATGAACTCTTTCCCATTATGGCAAAGTCCCTTTCTCTTTTTGATATTTTTTGTTTTGTTTTGTGTTTTTGGTACTGGGAATCAAACTCAGGACCTTGCACTTTCCAGGAGGGCACTTGTGCTGGTGAGCATTATCCCTGGCCCTAGTTCCTTTCTCTTGGTAGAAATTTTTATGCTTATAGAAGTTGTATCCATCTCCATATATTTTTGCTTTATTTTCTGGAATATGCCTTGCTACATTTCTGAGCTATATGTGTGGTCTATTTTGTGCAGGTTTCAAAGGTGTGCATTGTGAAATAGAGATAAATGAATGCCAGAGCAACCCCTGTGTGAACAATGGGCAGTGTGTGGATAAAGTCAATCGCTTCCAGTGCCTGTGTCCTCCTGGTAAGTGCCTACTGTCTGCCCCATTTGCCTATAATGCACAGCTAGCTGACCACAGGGAGGGCCAAGGAGGGAATGTGTGGGGGCTGTGTGAGGAAGTCAAGTGAGCACCTGGTGAGAGGTGTGTGTGTGGAATTGTTTTTGCTGGTTGTCTTCAAATTGGTTGTGGCCTGAAGTCCAAGTCTGTTCTTCAGTGGCCATGACGAGGTGTGTATATGCAGAACACTCACAGTCACAGAAGTCCAAGTTCCAGGCTGCTTTGGATCCTTTTCCCCCACAGTTTGTGTTCTTGCAGCCCCTCTATGAGGTTATTATTTTTACACATTTTAACCCATGAGACCAAACAGATAACAAACACCAAGATTTTGCCCCAAGATCCTCTTTCTGTCCCTTTTCTTTTGATGCTTTTGTTGAAGGCATGCCAGATGTCTCCCTTAGACAGAAACCTCTCCACTTTCTCGTCAGAGAGAAGGTCCCTTTGCCTCTGAGGTACAGTCCCTTGTGGGGGCTCCACGTGATGTATCTTATCAGTTTCTCTCCTGAGGTGAGAGCAGAGGTGGAAAGACAAGAGCCTCTGACCATGTGCTCTTCCAGGTGTTCAAGTTACCCGCTGGGGACAGTTGTTCTATTTGGTGATTCCTCTGATATATGCCCTGCCAGGGGCCTCACCCACCCCCGAGAAGCATCATCCTGTCAGTAAAGAAGGACACAGGCCAGTCTTTGACTTGTGTCACCACTGTGCTTCTTCAAGGTTTCACAGGGCCAGTCTGCCAGATTGACATCGACGACTGTTCCAGTACTCCGTGTCTGAATGGGGCTAAGTGTATCGATCACCCGAATGGCTATGAATGCCAGTGTGCCACAGGTAAGCACCTGCTCACTTTTCTTCCCTCAGGAGAGCTCTTTGCACACTGGGGCAACTTTCTTCTGCCAGCTATTCTGCTGGAGAACACAGAGAGGGCTCTGCTCTCCCTCATGGTCAGGTGCTGTCCTGTCTGGGGAGAATCACTAGCTGCTTTCTCTGTTACCACAGATCCTCCTCCTGCACCTGCCTCTTCCACAAAGGCAGTGGTCGGGCCAGGACTTTCCATTGGTGCCCATGTTGTTCTGGATTGATGTGGGTAGTAGGGAGTTTCTGGCTGGCTTGACTGACTCCATTGGGAAGGAAAAGGATCCCTGTGGAAAACTGTTGGTTTCTGGGCATTCTGTAGGGGTCTGTCTGTCTCCTGGGGCTGTGGCTGAGAAAGAGTCTAAGGGCTGACTGTGTGCTTGTGCAGTGGCTTTCTGCATCCCAGAGGTGATTTCCTTGGGAGCAGACATGTAACTGCCAGGAGAGAGCTGTAGCTGTGAAAACTTGGGGCTGTTTGCTGACTTTTGCTTCTCTCGTCCAAAAGGATCTGTTCACACATATTCCACATGACTTGGTCTCTGGCCACATTTCTGTCTTGGGAGTGGGTTTCATTAAACCAAATACCCCTGTTACATATTTGCTTCTGTGCAGGTCAGTAATATAGAGAAAGCCTAGAAATACTAGAAAATATGATGTTTTTTATTGCATGGCTGCCTGAGAAAGATGTTAGGAATTTATTTCAAGACATGTTATTTTAGAGAATGAGTTCTTAAAGGATTACAGGCATTGTGCAAATGGTTTCTTCATCACAGAAAAGGAAACTTAGTCCTCAAATCATTCAGAAAGTTAATATTGCCAGTTAGACCTACTTAGATGAGACCATCTCCAATGAGAACCAGAACTTGCATTTTGTTACAGACTGTTGTGTTTGTTGGAGAAGCTGAAGGCTTTGCCTTCTCAGGCTAGACTCTTCTTGTGGAGCATAAGCTTCACCTAAGGAGAGACCAAAACCCCAAATTATGATTAAACCCAGTGAGAGGCCTCATGGAGCTTTTTAGGAAAAGGTGGAATATGATGAAGCCTTGCATGTAGGAAATCTTGCTTGTTCCTTTTTATTTACATGTTCACACCTGGTTCACTCATTGAATTCAACAAGTATTATTAAAAACCTAGTATGTATTCACAGCACCCTGGGAGGGGTTGACAGGAATAAAGAAATATTCTGTGTTCTCCAAGGTGAGAATTGGGCAGAGAAGATGCACAAAAGTGTTAATTCTACCTGTGGGTTGGGTTTAGGAGGACAGGAATCCAGACATAAGGGCATAAATGAAGACATTGAGAGGATTTCCCCTGATAACAAGTAAGAACCAGCTGAGATTAAAGCATCTTTAAAGGAAAACCGGTTATCGTCACAAAGGTGCTTCATTTCTGCAGCTTTGACTGGGAATCTTCATTTAGAGAGCACCGGGCTGGCCTTCTGAATCACTCTCAAACTCACTGCTCAACACGCAGTTCTCATGATTCCCTGTGGGGTAAATGGATGAACTGCCCTTGGGTTGAGGTGTGCAGTGTGTGCCTTGGTTTTTAAGATTCCTCTGTCAAATCCTTCTCCAGGTTTCACTGGTCTGTTGTGTGAGGAAAACATTGACAACTGTGACCCCGACCCCTGCCACCATGGCCAGTGTCAGGATGGGATCGATTCCTACACATGCATCTGCAACCCTGGGTACATGGGTGCCATCTGCAGTGACCAGATTGATGAGTGTTATAGCAGTCCATGCCTCAACGATGGGCGCTGCATTGACCTAGTGAATGGCTACCAGTGCAACTGCCAGCCTGGCACGTCAGGTAAGCACAGGTGGCTGTGCGTGGTTGGGGTCTCATTGTTTCCTAAACGCAGTTCATATTGGCATCTCCAGTTTTCTTGACATTCGCTCAGAAACCTAATATACACCCCTAACTGTGAGGCACAACCAAAGCCATAAGTATCTCCAAGCAGATGACTCTGTTCAGTGGAGAACTTGGAGACCGTAACTCTGTCAATGTAATGATTTTGTCTCTCTCTGTTTTTAATTAAATCGGGCTTACCCCTTCAACATATGAGGTTTTTAAAATTGAAAACTTTCTTGCTTTTGTGACTTGATGTTCTGTTTTTCTTTAAACCACTCCCACATAGATTAATGAATTTTTCTGCCTTTTTTTCCTCCCTTTCTGCCCTGCCTTCTTTCCTCCCTTTTTCTTTCCTCATTTTCTTTTTTTTTTTTTCTCCTTTCTTTTCTCTGTTTCTTTCCTGCATGTGATATTTTTCTTCTGCCACTTGCGTCAGGGCCTCAGGCATCTGGGGGGGTTTTAAGGGAGGAGACAGTGTGCTGTGCATCATGGTGATTGTTACCTGAGATGCTCAGAACTCATTGCCTGTCCCCAAAGTTCTGTGATGTTCCCTGACACTGCCAGAAGGCCCCTATTAGTTGTGTGGCCCTGCTGCTCCTTCTTGAGGAGACTTGGAATTGTTTTTTCAGGCAGCAGCATTTTAGTTTGCACTGGATTCTGTCTTCTATATTTGAAGAGTGATTATGGTCACAACTGTGGCTAATGGACAGAGAAGTTCTGTGTTTCAGATCAAAAGCAAATGTATTAGTGGAAGATTAACTGATGTGTGCCTTTGCTAGAGAGGAACCTGCCAATATCAGGGATGATTTATGAAAAGTTCCTCCTGAGCTTAAGGAAAATGGCCTATGTAGGGGACAGAGGTAGGGAGGTAGTTAGCTGCACTCATTTGATTGTGTTATTTCCAAATCCATTTCTTCCAGCTTGTCAAAGGCTCTGGACTTCATCCAGGGCCTCACACATGCCAAGTATAAAAACAAAGTCCTTTTTGAATTGCTCAAGCATACGACAAACATCCCATGCCTTCACAGCTGAGAATGCCTCCCCCTCCCCACATTGAGATAACTCCCTCAAAGGGCTGAATAGATCTTTGTGAAGCTTCCAAAAGCAATTTATTCCCGGGGCTGATCCCCAGACATGAGAAATTGCAATAGGAAAAGAAATTTGAGCGACTTACAAGCAATGAGTGGACACCCTTAGAAAGGAGGGACTGCTTTCGGCTTTGTCATCGTTCACGTTGTAACAAACTTGCTGGAAATCAGTGAATGGTGGGTTGGCGAGTGGATTGTTTTCTCCGGGATTATATCATTATTCAGGACATATCAGGTGTGTGTTCTGGGGAGGACAGAGAGGCCAGGGTGCAATAGCTGTCTCTGAGAAAGGCAAGAAGTAAACATAAGTTTCTGGGGCAGGCAGCACGGAAAGGCCCAGAAGGTCTCAGAACCCTGCCAGATCCATTCCTGCAGCTGTTTGAAGAATTCAGGCAAAGAGCTACAGCAACATGAAGAATTATTGGTCAGTCATGGGTGGAGAGAGAACTTGTATGTGCCAGGACCCAGGTGGAAAGTCCATTCAGTGAGGCATTATGAAGAGACTCTCACAGAGTATGAACCCTTTACCCATTTATAATATGGTGTATTTTAATAGGTTGCCGTTTGAGTGACAGTATGCAGAGAAGTGACACATAGTAGCTTGCTGGTTTTAGTTGTGATATTCACTCACTGAATAATTAAATTTAGATAAACTATTCAGAGTCACTTCAGTTGGTTTTTCTCTTCTGTGCTTTTCTGATGTTACTGTATGAGTAATCAGTTTCTTTGGGTTTCATGTAACAATAAACCAGCTTGAGATAGCTGAAAGAAGTCATTAATAAACAAGCAAACAACAAAATATTTTATTTGTTTTTTTTGGTTTTGGTTTTTCTCCGGTACCGGGAACTGAACTCACGACCTTGTGCTTGCCAGGCAGGCGCTTTTGCCGCTGAGCTAAATCCCCAGCCCCAACAAAATATTTTAATGAAAAAAACCCAAATTCTTATCATATACAGATTAAAAAACAATCTAGTGAAGGAACACAGAAGCATCTTACAGATTCTTAGCAGGAATGGAATAGAAGGCTTTGGAAAAAACAGCACAAAGCAGGGCAGTTTTTAGGCCCTAGATCACATAGGTTACATTTCCGTATAGTAGTTCATTGACTGGGCTTAACCCAGGTGTCAGCTCTTCATTGATGATCACTGAGTAGACAGTGACCATTGGGCCAGAGCCATCTTGGATTGTCAGGGCTTCATGGGCTGCCTTCAGGAACTGAGAGTAAGAGCATTGTCAGTCAAGGGCTAGAAGTAACTCTTAAGGGCACATGCTTGTATATGGGAATATGGAGATTGCTTTTTCATTTATGGCTAGTGAGAAAGGATAGCCTTAGCACTACAAGAAACCATGGCATGCTAGAAAGCATAGAGCTGTGGGACCAGAGGATAAGGCTTAATTCTCAGATGAGCTTGCCCTTATTAGTGCAGTACAAGTCAGCTGTGCCATCTTTAAAATAGGGGTAACTCAGCTGGACTCTCAGCTTTGCTGAGAGGAATAGAGAAAAGTAGTGAAAAGTGCACATAATAATGGCTGTTTTAGTTACTTTCTCATTGCTGGACCAAAGTACATGACACCCACAAGTTAAAGGAGAAAAAGTTTATTTTAGCTTACAATTTGTAGAAAGGTTTATTTTAGCTTCTTTCAGTCCATAGTCAGCTGGCTCGAAAGCAGGGCACCATAGCAAAGGAGCATCCCAGAGGAGAAACAGTCCCTAGCAGGGCAGACAGGAAGCAATAAGCCTTCCTTTCTGTTTTTATTCTGTTCAGTCTACAAGTTTATTGATTGTCCCTCCTCCTTTTTTTTTTTTTTTTTAATTTTTAAAGAGGGCCTCACAAGATTTCTACCTTTCAGAGAGACCAAGACCAAAAAGGGCCCAGGATGCTGTTTGGTGTTCTGTAGGTTCAAGCTCAAGATGTCTAGTCCTGCAAAGAAGGAAAAAAAGAAGTACTTTATGTGTACTTCCCATTTCCTCACATGAAATGGTAGAGATACACTCGCGGTTTGAGATTTGATAAAGCTATAAAGTTAATCATTTTAACCTCTTCATGAAAGCCATCCTTAGGTGAAACTGGCACTTGGGTTTGTTTAACTATGGGCATGAGGGTGTCATGAGGCAGTGACCACTAGCACAGCTTGGTGCTGCTGCCTGGATTCTTGCTAAGATGCCAACAGTTTTACCCCCAATACCTTTGCACCATCAATGTGAGTTTCAAACAGTGAAAAAGACCAATAAATAATGGGTAAGTATGATTAATAACATCCTTTTACCTCAAAATCCCCATCCCCACTCCCTAGAAGACTGTGAACCGTACTCTTTGAGAAAAGTTGCTTTGTTCTGTCCAGGTCTGCCTGGACTCTCCTTAAACTTTTTTTTATTGTCTTCGAGACAGGCTTTCACTATGCAGTTCAAGCTGGCCGTGAACTCACTTTGTAGCCCAGGCTGGCCTTGGACTTGCAGCAGTCCTCCTGCCTCAGTCTCCCAAGTGCTGGGATTACAGAAGTGCGCTACCATGCCTGGCCTATGCCTTAAACTTCTTAATGCATAGTATCACAAGCAAAAGCTGTGATGTTTGTTTGGTTACATGGAATGGTTTCTCTTTGGTCCCCTCTTTGCAGGAGTTAACTGTGAAATTAATTTTGATGACTGTGCTAGCAACCCTTGTGTCCATGGCGTGTGTGTGGACGGCATCAGTCGTTACAGTTGTGTCTGCTCTCCAGGATTCACAGGTATGCTGCATGTACTGGGGCCTGTCCTTCAGCCCCACCACTTTGGGAAAATGACATCTAAGGGGAAATTATCATTCACATATCTCCTGTTTCTTGGTCTCCCTGGAAGTAGAAATCTGGTTCTGTGCTTCCCTAAACCATTGAGTGGCTTTTAAGTGTTTTCTAAATGGAAACATACTACTTCATTTATTAAGGTTTTTTAGACCACATGTTTTTTGCTGCCTGAGAATAATTCCCCAATAAACTGTAAGATTCCATTGCTATTCATGAGTTAAATTGCCACCAAAGCCACCTTTGTTTTCCTACAGGCAGTAGTCAGTGCCTTCTGTAAAGCCATTCCCTAGGTAAACGTCCATGAAAACACCAACTGCTTATCTCAGGGTCCTTCTTCTTCACAAAAGGATGAGATAATTATTTGAGAAGACCATTCTAATTTGCCTAGCAAGAGTGAGCTCTTTTTGCCCAGAAGGAAGAAAAAGTAAAATAATTTTGCATTTAATTCTTCCTAAAGTATAAACAATAGAGCATTTGCATTTGTGCACATGCACACCACACATTTCTCTCCTCTTTTTCCTTGTTAATATTACCTTCCTGATCTGAACATGCTGGAAGCTCCTGAGAAGTCCTGTTCCTCACTGACATGAAAGTCTGTGATTGGTATCATCAGAGGAATACACTGTGTATTCTATTCTTGGTGGACAGCAGGCACTAATGCGGTAGTGTCAGACTTCTCATCCAACTCTGTCCAGGGTGAACAGATTCCCCAAACTAGGTGCTTGCAGATGTATGAGAAAAGTAAGAAAAACATCAAACCAAGAGCGCCAAAATCCTGTGATCAGGTGCTAGCAGCCTCTAGGACTGACTCCTGATTACCATCTTCAGTAACCTTTTATTCAGAACCCACCCAGGAGGCAGTAGAGGAATTCGAGAATATCAACTGTTTTAGCAAGGACAATACAACTCAATTATCATAGGAATGAGACCTGACCAGTAAGCCATCATGTTATCTTCCTTCACCCCTATCTCAGCAAAGCATCTAGTATTGATCCCGCTTGCAATGCTTATGCTAGACTTCCTCCAGAACCCAACAATCATGGCTTGGTCAGGCCGCAGGCAATACACAAAATAGTAACTAAAGAATGTCCTCCACAGGGTAGTACTCTTTAATAATTCTCATGTGGTCATTTGCTCCCCAGGTGAGAAACTCCCTTGAGAGCTTTTGACAGAATCTGTCAAAGAGCCAACAGAGCCACGAGAGGAGAATGTCTGCCATTTGCTTACTAGGAACTTTGCTCTTTGATTCACGAACATTTCAACTGCTTGGTGTGACTGTAGAACTTGTTATAGATAGTAATGTTGGTGGCGTCAGTAGGTCTCAGTGATTCCCATTCATTGAAGATCACTGAGAAGCCAGCTATGGTGAAAGCTTTCATGCCGAGGGCCTGCATTGCTGTGGTAGCCTGGTGGACTTACGTGTCCTAAAAGCTGGTGCTCCAAGATCAGGGGACACCAACTGAATGCACAGAAACCCCTGCTAGATAGGATTGTTAGGTGTTATTGCTAAATGGGTGATGTAAAAAAGAATAGTTAACATATATTAAGGATTTATTTTGAGAAAGATACTAAACAAGTGCCATATCTCACTTAATCACAGCTGTTGTCATTCCTGTGTATCGATGAGAAGTCCACAGTTCAGAGCGGTGATGCAGTGTTGCCTGTGCTCTGCAGCTAGGATTCTACCCCTGGTGGTCTGAGCCAGAGCCAGGGCTCATTCCTTTTGCACTGCACAGCCTCAGCAGTGGCTTCCTTTTGGATTTCTGTAAGGCTTTCCCCTGGGCTTATTTATTTTTGATGTCAGTGAACCATATTATTTCTCTTTTTAATTCAGCAACTCAGCAAGGTTAAGGAAGGATAAACTTAAGGTGTAGTGTGAGAGTACATAATAAAGAAATGGAATGTTTTGGTTACTGGCTGTACCCTGTTCTTGGAACTGTTTTCTGTGCCTGAGATTTTTTTTCAGTCAACTGCTGAAAATATCTAAAATGACTGTGTATACCCATGAGTGGTAAATGTGAGGCGTTTTATTCTTCCCCTTTATTTTAATGCTTTTTTCCTACCATTTTAATAATAGCTTTAAAAGATTTAAGGGGGAGCTTTATTTTTCTTTTTAAAGGAGAAATTCTCTGTTTTCCTAGGACCTCTTGATACTTTTTGATTAAATGAAGGAAAGTAAGGAATCATATGCTAATCCTACAAGCTACTTTCCTGTTTTCTAAAGCCCCTCCGTACCCACCATCTTCTTTAATTCTCCTAACAGTCCAGAAAGGAAGTTCTGCTGCATTCGTTTAACAGATAAGGCAGCTGAGAGGTGGAGCTTGCTGGGCTTGGGTTTTCAGCTATCGGTCAGAGAGAGTGCTGTGAATTCCCAGAAGGCAGGGCCCTCCCTTAATCATCCTATTAGCAGTAACTGGCACTCAGAAATGTTGCTGAACGAATAAATGGATAGGACTCACATACAACCCTTCTGCTGTCCAGCCAGAATCTAGAGTCTGGACTATAATGTTCATTAAATACCAATTCTTTGAGTACCTACTGATTGAAAACATGAAAAAACTGCTCATTTCAGCAATTTCTAAACCCCTCACGGTGTATGGTTGAACTATTTCTGATCGGGGGTGGACGCTGAGAGAGCAGGACCTGGCTCTTGGAGTGGCTGCCAATCCACACAGCAGGGAAAGAAGGTGCTTAATACTGTCACATAGAGATGGCTTGCATATTTACTGTAGGAAAAATTTCAGCGCAAATGAAGAGCTGCACAGTTAGCTCAGAGGTAGAGCATTTGCCTAGCATGTACGAGGCCCCAGGTTTCATGCCTACCACACTAAACACATACATACATACATATTGGGGGGGCTGAGGCAGCAGGATCACTTGAGCCTAGGGTTTCCAAATCAGTATGGGCAACATAGTGAGACCCCCATCTCTCAAACAACAAACCACAAACAAGCAAACAGAACAGCACATGAAGAAAATTTGGGAGAAGTCGCATCTATGGAGATGCTTTCTTCATAGGCCAACATTGAACAAGGCGCTTTCCTGTCGTCTTTCAGTGCACTGTAGACCCAGGCGGCTCTGTAGTTGAAGGACTCTGGCTTGTGCTTTGGTGCCAGTGGCAAACATCTCAAAGAACCAGTGGTAGAGGTCAAGGAAAAAGTATTTTTGAACGAGTTCTCCATAAAATACTTAGAGGAAAGGAGTAACCATTTCCAGATTATGGGTCTGCACCACAAGAACCACCAGTAATGGTTCAGAGAGCAACAGAGGGTGAAAAAATGTTAATACCCATACTTTAAAGGGTGTGTATCTGTTTCACTTGGAATTTCCTGTTCTAAATGCAGGGTTGCTCTTTCTTAAATTTAAACAAAGTGCATTTTTAAAAAATTCTGAATCAGGAACATTGTAGTCTTTAAAATTTATAAATTCCTCTATAGCACTTGCTTGATTTCACTCATTTATAGAATTATAAGAAATTTTAAAATTTCACATTATTTCAGAATATGTAGTTCAGCCTCAATCACTGAAACTTTAACAAATCAAAACACCTGTAAAACTGGCACATGTTAATTTATTCAGCCCAGTGCAATGAAGACCAAGGCTATCACAGATATCCTTTCACACTTTAGTCTTGGGTATGTCATAGAGGAAGAATTTACTTCAACTTCATATACTCCCATCGTCTGTACTATTACAGGACGTTAAGTATAATTCCTTAGGGCAGAGTTTCTCAAAACCTAATGTTTGAAAGGCCTGCATGACAATCTGTGGCAATAGGACCCAGGAATCTCATTTAGAAGTACCTTAAGGGAGTATTTTACATATTAAAGTTTGAGAGCCACTGGAGTAGACGGAGACACTGAATTGTTTTCTCAGTTACTAGGGAGTAATAAAATTATGCTTAGAGACTGCTTCTTGAGGCAGAAAATAGATTAATGAAACTATAAGAATGAAAACAGAATAGCTTTTCTTCTTAGTTTAATCATTAATCTAAGTTAGTCTGTTGACTAAGCATTCCAGTTAATTGTGATTTACTACAGATAGAAATGTAAGACGTTGGTAAACTGAAGAAATAAACCCATGGCAAGCTGGCAGAAAGCATGTCATGAAGGCTTTTGTGAGTACACATTTTGAGTACACATTTTTTGAGTACAAACTGCATTATTAAGACGTTGATGACATTTGTCATTCCTTCAATGCCTTGTGAAGTTTCCCCATTCCTAAGTTGGAAGGAGAATGATGTTTTGTTACCTTTACTTCATTATCAAATGCTAATCTGCTTAGTACATTTCTGCATGGCATGAGGTGCTTTTGAGTGTCTTACTTCTGAAATCTTGACATTTGGCACCCTAGGGTGCCTTACAGCCTCTGCAGATAAAGAGGGTCAGCGTCTATATCTCGTAGTTCAGGTCTGTTCCCTGAGCATTTGGATTTGCATAACACTGCCCCCTTCTCCATAGGGTTAAGATGTAACATTGACATCGATGAGTGTGCCTCCAATCCCTGCCACAAGGGTGCAACGTGCATCAATGACGTGAACGGTTTCCGCTGCATATGCCCTGAAGGTCCCCATCACCTCAGCTGCTACTCGCAGGTGAATGAGTGCCTGAGCAACCCCTGCCTCCACGGGAACTGTACTGGGGGCCTCAGTGGGTGAGTAGTGGCCGTGTGTCAATAGTTTCTTGTTGACCTATCTCAGGCCAGTTGGTTTTTAGTACTAGTGATAATGTGAAGAAGAAAGCTGGAGACTTACCCTGGAGAGGTCAGTTGGAGACTGGACCTGAAACTTGGCTGAAGGTTTTGGTAGTCTCTTTTACAGTTTTTCGGAGTGTCACTTGGTCCAAGGAAGTTGGCTTTCCTTCTAGGACTGATGTCCTAGATGGAAAATAAGGATTGTCTTTTTTACATAAGTGATTTCATGTGAGGAATCTAGACTTATTTCATGAGTCTTTGGCAATTATGTTTTAATACTTATTGCAGGATTGTTTGAGGAATGTTATAGCTCAATTTGACCCCTGCTTAAACACAGACAAGCTCTGTTTTATCATAGTACCTGTGTGTACTATGGGGTGGAATTGGTTCAGCCAACTTTAGACATAGTTCTGGTAAAATATTTGTAGTTGGCATACCGCTTAGAATTGTACGATACATTTGTAGTTTATGGAACTGTGGGGTAATCTTTGGTCTTGCCATAAGATAGGGCTTTGAGCATTGCCATTTGCCAAGCTTCCAACAGGTGAGAGAAAAAAATGTTCTAGAGATACATGGGAAACAAAGTTTTTTAAATGATGAATTAACTCAACATTCCTGTTTCAGAGTATACCAGTCTTCAAAGCACCCCTCCTCATCCACTCTCTTCTTATAGTCTAAGTAAGACGGCTATTGTGTTTTGATTCCCTATTCTAAATGCTATGATATTCAAATCAGAGATTATATATACTTCAGTTATTTTCATTTTTGTGTGTTTTCTTGCTCAATACCATAGGTGCCTCCTTGAGACAGGGTCTCAGGTTAGAACAAAGCATGACTCATGTAAAGCATCCTAGGAGCTCCCCAGTGTTCCCGAGTCTCTGATGTTAACCTGTTTCCTGTTAATGGTTTTACATCAGAAACCAGGGATCCTAAGGTTTGCCTTACCTTTGTTTTGTTTATAATAAACCAAGCATATTCATGTATATTAGTGTTTCCTTTAGATTGACCCAATATATCTGACAAACTATTGCTTATATATGAAATTTCACCATACTTAATCAATTCCACTAACTTCCTCGTGACCCAAACACACTAGATGGGCCCGTATGATCTACATCATGTGCATGGTGATACAGGTATGTGGCTATAGAAGATTAAAATAAAATTAGCTTATGAGCTCCCTCACTTCTTCACCAACTCCTTTATTTCACCCTGTGACTCAGTTGTACATTTGGCCTCTGACAAGAGCAAAATTCTGCCATCTTTCAGATATAAGTGCCTCTGTGATGCGGGCTGGGTTGGAATCAACTGTGAAGTGGACAAAAATGAATGTCTTTCTGACCCATGCCAGAATGGAGGCACTTGTGATGATCTGATGAATGGATACAAGTGCACTTGCAAGAAGGGCTTTAAAGGTAAAAAGCACGTGTTCTCGTACCTGTCATACTCTTGTTGCATACTGCTTGACTCACTTGTTTTCATTTCTTATCCACTCTAGCACATATTGAGCAATTAGTATTTGTGAGACACTTGGGGAATAAAAACATGAATAGATATAATTTCTGCCTCTACCTAGAGGGAGCTAAACTGTTGAAATAGTAGCATTTCAGATGATCAGTTAAGACATTTACACAACTTTGGACACCTGTCCAATAGCAAATTTCTTGATCTAGGTTTGGTTCTGTGATAATTTAGCCATGTGTTTTAACAAACTCTTATGTATGGAGATACTCTTAGATACTTAGTTTCCTATTAACTTCTAGAAAAAGGCACAGAGTGAGAATTACATGAAATCTTTTTTTCTTTTTTAAGTTGTCTTTGTTGTAATTCTACTACTCATGAGAGATAAATGATGGGTGAATTATTTATATTTATACTCATCTATACACTTGCTCATTTATTTACCCACTCAAAAATTGTACCTGGCTATTGTGATACATCAAAACATTTTAGAGCCACTTTATTTGATTATAGAACAGACATCCTAGTCCAAAACTCTGAAATACAGAAATGCTTCAAAATTTGAAAGTTTTTGAGTGCCAACATGGTGGCACAAGTGGAAAGTCCACACCTGACCTCATGTGTGAAACTTTTTTTGATGAACAAAATTATTGAAAAATGTATAAAAATGTATAAATGTATAAAATTACTTTCAGTAATTTTATATAAGGTGTATATTAAACATAAATGTATATAAGGTATATATTAAACATAAATGAACTTTCTCTGTATGTAAGGTATATATTAAACATAAATGAATTTTATATAAGGTGTATATTAAACATAAATGAATTTTATATCAGGTGTATATTAAACATAAATGAATTTTCTGTTTAGGCTTGGGTCCCAGCCTCAGGATATCTCATTGTCTGTAAGAAAGAATTCCAAACTCCTCATAATTCCTAAATAAAAAAAATATTTCTGATACCATACAGTGCAGATAAGGGGTTCCTAGCCTGTACCTGAAAATTTTGAGACCCTATTTCAGTTATTAATTTTCTGATATATTGCATTATGTTTACAGAGAAACTTGTAGCTTCAAAAGCACTTTCCTTTGTTGACCTCATTGAGACTTGGTTATCAGTGAGAAAACTAAAAACCAAAATGTAAAATCCAAGTGTTCCTGCCCCATGAGCAGAAGAGCACAACTGAACCCAGACCTCTGTGTTCCTAGATCATCAATTTCTTCTTCAAGGTGTTACAGTTTCTCTGTTTTAGGACCCTATGCCACACTATGTTGAAAATACAAAGGTATTCAATATTTGAGTACCGTGCTGTTCCTACTAATCCTTTATTCCTTTTCTCCCTTTTTTACTGGGAGTAAATTTCATGTCTCAAATCAAGAGAAAACAATACTGTGACTTCAGGAAGTGTCACATTGATGACAGAATCTGCTGATGAGCGAATGAGCATAAACCAGACGTTTTGATTGTGTTCAAAAACATTTTCTGTCTTTTTCTGACTGGAAACTTCATATAAAAACATCCTGTTCGTGTCAAGTAACAAGCTTTTCAGCCTTTTCAGCCTTAGCTCCATTATTGAGAAATTACCTGTATTTGGAGGAGAATTAGGTTTTCAGGCCATTAGAAATGATTGCTCTTTCTTCCATCTTTTTGACGATTGACCACTTAGCAGCTGACTCTGTGTCAGGGACTTGTGGCCAAAATGAATGAGGAGGTGTTCAATGGCCTGAAGAAAAGACTTCAGTCTTAATTTTTACCCCTGAGAAAGTGAGTTAGTAATTCAGGTAATGAGAAGGTGAACAGTTTTGCTCTGTATGGTCTCCCTTTTTTTCCACAGGCTACAACTGCCAGGTGAACATTGATGAATGTGCCTCAAATCCATGTCTGAACCAAGGAACCTGCTTTGATGATATTAGTGGCTATACTTGCCAATGTGAGCTGCCCTACACAGGTGGGTGCCTCAGGTTCCAGCAGGGTTGGGTTAAGGGGACCTTGTCATATCAGGGTATGTTTCTGAGTCTCGGATCCAGCTCTGTGGGGCACTGGTGCTGCTCTGAGGAATCACCTCCTGGCTGTCCTTCCTGCACTTGCTGACTGCATTTTGAGTTTTGAGAAAACACTGTGATGGAGAAATATATCTGCCCTCTTTATGCTTTGGAGTTTGAATTTTAAAAAAATTATGTATGGCTGAAACCTGGTACGTAGCTGATGGTTTTGTCTGTCACTGGAATGGAACCACTTTTCCATAAACTTTGCTATTAGTCTTAATTTCAATAATGCAATTACCATTTATTGATAACTTACTGTATACTAGACAGTTTTTTCAGGTGGTGGTGGGGATGGAATCCAAAGCCTCACATGTGCTAAGCAAGAGCTCTGCCACTGAGCTACATAGCCACAACCCAAATACTTTTTGTATTTTGAGCTAGTATTAGCTTCAGTAATTCCACAATGTAGAATTTCCTGTCATCAATTTATATATGACAAAGCTGTGCCAAAGGGAACTCAGAAAAGTAAATGGAGGATCTCAGATTTCCTGTAAGTCTCTGAGACCTGGTATCTGCCATTCCTTTCCTCACACTCAGTACCTCTGTCTCACTCAGAGGCATTACCCTGAGTAATGGTTCACACCCAGAGAAGGCACAGATGTGGTTTTCATTTCACGTCGTGTGTTCTTCATTTCAGGTAGTATTTTGCTGTGTCCTTGAGGCATTTCTCTTAGTTTTCTCTTATGGCTGTCCTGTGATTGGTTATGCTTGTGTGTGCCTTGCTTTCCAGCTCCTCACCCATAGGAACAAAACCATGGATCATGGGTTTGCCTGTTTCATGCCCTTGTTACTCGCCTCCCGGAGTATTGGACTGTTAGTAATAACACTGCATAGTGATCCTGAGCTGGTAGAGCAGCAGGAGGACCACAAGTATAACTAAAACACTCTGCTCTCTACTTCTGTCTGTACCAAAGTAAAAGAAATACTACTGTAGGGAAATTGCATTTAACCTGCCTGGCTTATAAAATCAAAGTTACAGAACATTCAGGTTAACCTCAGACCTGAGCATAGTGTGAATAATGTCACTGCACAAAGACAGTGCTGATCCTGTGTGTTGCTAGTGAGATCATCTTGTGACTGTGAAGACTCAGAATTGACGGCCATGGGGACATATATACAGCTGTAACCATGCTCAGCTACCTCACAGGATTACTTGCTGTGTGTCATAGATGTCCACTCATCTTGAGAAAACCTGTATTGTCCTCAAGCTACTCAGATACACTGAGAATTTTTGATTGATCTTTCATTAGGGAATAATCCAGTTAAGGAATTTACAGTGTGTAGTCTTGGAGAAATAAATCTAACCAGAAGACCATATATAGATTACCATTTTAATGCTATGTGGCTAAAATTTCTAAGCTTTGTAGAGTTTGCCTACCAAAGCTGAATTGCTGTGCTTTGTAGGTCATTATTCTGACCAGATGGTAAAAATTTGTTTGGGGCCATTGTGGTGAAATTTCACAAGATTTTTTTTCATACAAATTTTTAGAATGAAATGTAAAGTTGTGTTTGTTAGAGCTTGACCTTAAAAACAACCTCATCCCTCTTTTAATGGAAACATTCTTATTTAATATTATTTTACTGGAAGCTTAAGTCTAACATGCTAAGGCAGAAAGTGTTGGTGGGAAGATATCAGTGACATGTTGATATTGTTATAAGGAGACAAGTTGCCCAGAAATTGGAGCGCCTTCCCTGTTTTCCATCACTGATGTGCCTTCCTGTCAATCCATCCCCAGATCAGGTTAGCTGGGTCGTAGGAACAGGAGGCTCTGCTGCTGTTGCTTCCCTGATGATACTAAGGTGTATCTGTGAAGCTGAGCTCCTGTGTAGCTAAGTCTTAGCTATGGAGGTGCAGAAACTGTCTCCTTTGATACAGCTGTTCAAATCTGGTGACCACTCATAATAGTGAAGATGACTGTGGCCTGATAGCATTTGAATGCTCACTCTGCATCTGTTTAACAAATAAGGGCTTTCCTATATTTTTTTCATTTAATCCTTCAAAATCCTCAGAGTTACATACCTTCCTAATTCTTTTCTATTCATGAGGAAGGCTTAGAGAAAATAAATAATTCACCCAGGGTTACAAAGTCAGCAGTGTAAGACCAGGGGATCAGAGTTTCTCAGATTCCAGAGCCTCCAAACCACTACCTTAGACTTAAATTCTGAAAGCATCGAAAACATCCAATTTGGGGAAATTATTCTTTCTTTGGCTGGTTCTCTATCTTGAACTCTATCATTTATTTTCCAGGCAAGAACTGTCAAATGGTGTTGGCTCCCTGTTCCCCAAATCCTTGTGAGAATGCTGCTATTTGTAAAGAGGCACCAAATTTTGAGAGTTACACTTGCTTGTGTGCTCCTGGCTGGCAAGGTAATAGAGTGGGCAATGCACAGGCATTTTTTTCTGAGCTTTAAACAAGGTGGTGGAGTTGGCAGATTTTGGGAAGGCCCTGCCAGGTCTCCTTTGCCTGCCAGTTGTCAAGCCCTCGGTCTGCGCAGGAGTTGCGGTGGAATGCTTTGTCCATGTCTTTGGCGCCCTCTAGTGGCAGAAGACTACAATCCAAAGCCTTAAACTGTGATGTTATTTCTAGAGGGAGTTTTTTTTTTTTTTTTTTAAAACCTTAACAGAAACTTCCCAGGAATACAAAGCCTTCCTGGGACTTCCTGAAGTAGGAGACCAACCAGGGTGTCCTTCAAGTACCCCTCCCCACAGCTAAGCTCAAGCCCCACATAGATTTCTGTGAGAATGAGCTTCCAAAGACTGAGGCAGTTCTGAGACAATTCATTGTTCCTTATTTCCAGGTCAGCGATGTACGATTGACATTGATGAATGTGTCTCCAAGCCCTGCATGAACCATGGTCTCTGCCATAACACCCAGGGAAGTTACATGTGTGAGTGCCCCCCGGGCTTCAGCGGTATGGACTGTGAGGAGGACATCGATGACTGCCTTGCCAGTGAGTATGCCGGCCAGCTGCTACCCTTAAGGGAGAAGCAGCTCAAAGGGAGCAGAGGGGATGAGCTCAGGGACTGCTGCTGTCTCTAATGCCAACACTGGCCATATCTGTCTTTTGTTTTGTTTTGTTTTCTTTTTGTGTGTGTGTGTGGTCCAGGGGATTTAAACAAAGACCTTTCAAAATTAGCAGTATTATCATTTTAGTTTTGAGATAGGATGTCCTTAAATTGCTCAGCCTTGGTTCAACTAGTATCCTCTTGGTTTAGCCCCCCCTTGTAGCTGTGATTTTAGGTGTGCACCACCACACCTGGTGCTTGTTGGATGTTTTTAAATCTTCTTTTTGAAGTTAATGTCTTTAGGAACCAAGGTAGTGGAATCTTAGCATTTCTATATGACATTTTGAACATTGACCAAATAGGGACAGTGCTGTGGTACTTTTCTCGTACATATTTTTGAGAGACAATGCAGTGAACTGTATTTTAAATGTATAATGCATCACATCTTGCAATATGCTAACCAAAACCACCTATGATAATGAGCATGTTTGTCCCCCTACAAGTATTTTTATCCAGTTGTCATTTAATCTTTCTCCCCACTTCTCTTGTCTCATACCACCAGAGGCTTACTTTCTGTCACTAAAATTAGCTGGCATTTTTTTTTCTTACTATTTTATACAAATGCAGTCACATAAGCACGCTCTTTTTGGAGGGAGAAGCTTTGACTTGTTGCAGTCAGCATATTTGTGATTGGGTACATTTTGCTGTGTGTATCAATAGTTTATTCTGCTTTATTGATGAGTAGTATTTTACTATATGGATATACAGATGGAGTATCCCTTTTACCTGAGGTGCTTGAAATCAGAAGTGTTTCAGACTTTTTTGGATTTCAGAGTATTCATATATGCATAGTGAAATAATATGGGGATGCCACCCAAGTCTGAACATGAAATTCACTTATGTTTTTATATATCCCCCCTTCAAACAAGGCTGAAGGCAACTTTATGTAGTATTTTTACCTGCATTTTGACTGTAACCTATCACATAAGGCTGGGTGTGGAGTTTTCCACTTGTGATACATGTTCACACTCAGATTTTGGAGCGTTTCAGACTTTTGGGTTAGGGATTCTCAGCGTGTAGTGTAGTTCACTGGTTAACAGCTGTTGAAGATTTATTCAGTTCTGAGGTATTACAAATAAAGGTGTCATGACATGTTTTCATTTTTCTTGAGTAGATACCAAAGAGTAGAAGGGATGAATTATGGGATAAATCATGTAACTTCAACATTTAAGAGACTGCCAAAATGTTTTTCAAAGTGGTTGTACCATTATCTTTCCAACCAGAATTGTAAAGAACTAGTTAACTACATAGTATTTAGTAATATCAGTCATTTTAATTTTGGTTCAACTAGTAGATATATAGTAGTGTTTCATTATGATTTTAATTTACATTACCCTCTTTATTAGTGAGGTTAACCGGTTTTTCACGTGATCTCTGAAATGTCTGCTCAAGTCTTTGACCATTTGAAAATTTTGGATTATTTGTTATTTGTGATTTTATTGAATTGAAACAGTTCTTTATATTCTAGATATAAATTCTTCATCAGATATTTGCTTTACTGTTTCTTCAGAAGTTATAGGTTCTCTTGGTCTTCTTTTGCAGAGAAAGTTATTAATATTGATGAAATTGAGTATAAGTTATTTTTTTTTATAGTCCCTGTTTCCTATATCTTATTTAACAAATCTTTGTCTAATCCAAAGTCATTGAGATTTAGCTCCTTTTTTTTTCTACAAGTTTTATACTTCTTCTCTCCCTTTTTATTTTCTGGAAGAGTTTATATATAATTAGAATATTTTTACTCAAAAAATGAGGCATAGAATCTTCTTCTAGTAAAATTTTTAACTACAAGCTTAATTCTTCTAGTAATATAATGCTATACAAGCTAATTTATAAATGTTATTAATTCAAATCAATTAATATATTCAGATCTTCTATATCGTCCTTGATTTTCTTTCTACTTATTCTGTCAATTATTTATGGAAACAGGTTCAAATCTTCCAAAATTATTTTATATTTCTCTTAGTTTTTGCTTATTCTTTTTTTTATATTTTGTTTTAAAAAAATAAAAGAAGGAAAACATATTAAACAGACATCCATTTACAAAATAGCATAAGAACAATATAGACAATACAGAGTTACAAAGTGGTAGGAAATTAACAATGGTTGTTGTATTACGTATTGATATCTTCAAAGTGGTTTCTCAGGAAAACAAATAAGAGACATGCAGGATTGATCATACAAGTAATCATTAACTGTTCCTTTCAGTAAAACAGTAGAAGACAGTAGCACAACTATGTTAGCTACCCTGTATATACATACATACATAATTTCGGTTTCTTTCTCTTCTCTTTTCCCACACCCCAGTTGCCCTTTACTTTTCAACATTTTTCTTTCATTTCGCAATATCTACCATACCTCTGAGTTTTTGTTCACTCTTTCAGATTCTGACTATAGTGAGACAATGTGTTGCTTACACATGCAGGTCTGATTTGTTTCACTTATGAGTATGGTCTCTAGTTGTGACCATTTACCTATAAAAGCCTCAAGTTTATTTTTCTGTATAGCTGAGTAATATTCCATTATATAAAAGTACCACGATTTTTTTAATCCAATCTTCAGAAGGTGAACATTTGGGTTGCTTCCACAATTTAGCTATTACAAATTGTGCTGCTATGAACATGGGTGCACATACATCACTGTGATATGATGTTCTCAGGTCTTCTGGGAAAATACCCAGAAGGGGAATGACTGGGTTGAGTGGGACCTCTAGACCTAGTTTGCTGAGGAATCTCCAAACTGATTTCCACAGTGGTTTCAGCAGTCTACATTCCCACCAGCAGTGGAAAAGGGTTCCTGTTTCTCCACAGCCTCGCCAGCATTTGTTATTGGTTGATTTCTTAATGCTAGCCATTCTTACTCGGGTGACATGAAATCTCAATGTTGTTTTAATTTCTCAAATGACTAATGATGTTGAACATTTTCTCATGTATTTATTTACCATCTGTATTTCTTTATCTGAGAAGTGTGTGTTCATCTCAGATGCCCATTTTTGGATTGGGTCTTTGAATTTCGGGGTGCTGATATTTTTTAATTCTTTATATGTTCTAGATGGAAGACCTTTGTCTGAGGGATAGTCAGCTAAAATTTTTTCCCAATTTGTGGGTTTTCTTTTTACTCTGCTGGTGATTTCTTTAGATGTGCAGAAACTTTTCAGTAGGATGAGATCCCAGTTGTTGATTCTTTGAAGTATTTCACGGGCAGTATGGTTTTTGTTCATGAACTCTCTGACTACCCATTTGTCTTCGAGATTTTTACCTACTTTCTCTTCCAGTAGATTTAGTGTTTCTGTTTTAATAATGAGATCTGTGATCCATTTTGATTTGAGTTTGGTGCATGGTGATCGACTTGGGTCTATTTTCAGTCTTGGCAGGTGGCAAGCCAATTTCTCCAGCACCACTTATTAAAGAGAATATTGTTCTTCCAGTGAGTTTGTTTGGCCCCTTTGTCAAAAATTAGGTGGCTGAGTGTGTTTGTGGTTTTGTCTGTGTCTTCCAGTCTGTTCCATTGATCTTCTGGTCTGTTTTTTAGCCAGTACCACTTGATTTTATGACAGTAGATTTTATGACAAACAAAGTGGTAGGAAATTAACAATGCTTGCTGTATTACATATTGATATCTTCAAAGTGGTTTCTCAGGAAAACAGATAGAGACATATAATACTGATCAACTGAGGACTCATTGACAGTTTCTTTCAGCAAAGAAACAGAAGACAGTAGAACAACTATGTTAACTACCCTGTGTATACATACATACAAAATTTCTCCTTCTTTCCCTTCTCTTTTCCCACATCCCAGTTGCTCTTTACCCTCGAGTGTTTTCCCATCATTTCACAATGTCTATCATACCTCTTAGTTTAAATTAACTCTTTCAGGTTTTACACTAGTGAGACAATGCGGTGCTTGCACATGCAAGTCTGATTCTTTTTATTTTTGACGTGTTTTTAAAATGAGTTGCTTGTAAAAAGTGTGTATTGGGTCTCACTTTCTTGCTGCACTATAACAATGCCATCTTTTTGAGTGCTTTTTATGATCACTTTTTATTTCTTCACTAGCATATTAGATATGGTGGTTGGTGTAAAGGTTTTTGTGGTTGGTATAGAGATTTTAGTATGCAGCTTTAGCTCATTATAATCCACTTCAGTTATACTACCTTGCGTAGAAAAAGAACCTTTTAGCAGTGAACTTGTTTTCACACTTCTCCTGCTCTCTGTTGTATTGTTTATGTATAATTTATGTATCATTAAACCTTCAGATATACTATTTTTACTTTAAATGCTAAATTTTTTAAAAAAGAAATCTAAAAAATAATTTAAAAGTCCTTATTTTGCCTACATATTTACTTACAATTCTTCATTCTTTTGTGTAGATTTGCGTTTCCATCAGGTCTCATTGTCCTCATGTCTGAAGACATTTCTTTAACATTTTGTGTGGTGCTCCTGATGATGAATTTTTCCTACTCTTATGTGTCTATATATGTTTTGATTTTGCTGTAGTTTTCAAAGATATTTTCAAAGAAAATATAATTCCTAGCTGACTTTCCTCTTCAGCTCTCTTAAGTTGCCCTACTTGCATTATTTCTGAGGGGAAATTTTCTATAATTGTTTCATGTCCTCCTTCATATATAATTTTCTCTCCTATGACTACTTTTTAGATACTGTCTTTCTACTAATTTTTAGCAGTTTGATTATGCTGCCTGTTGGTAGTGTTCTCATATTCCTTTGATCTGGGGGCTCCCTAATCTTTTAGAATATATGGGTCCAGATTTGAAAATATTTAAAAGTTAGTTTTTAGAGGAAACTTACCCCTCTCCTTTACAGGTTTCATTAGACCTTTTGAAATCATCCGTCTGTTCACCAGTGGTCTTTTAAAGAGTTTCTTCCCTCACCCCTAGTGTCTTATTTTAGCATATTTTATTTGAATGTGTCTCGCTGTGTTTTCAAGTTTATGTATTGTTTCATCTCTACTATCTTGGTGGCTGTTACTCCTTATCCTATGTTTTCCCTCAGACATTTTATTTTTTTCCTCCAGAATTTCAATCTGAGACTTTCCTATAACTTTATCTCTGTGTGTATGTGTTATTTTCATGCTTTTCTTCTTGAACATATGGAAATTAGCTGTTTCATAATTCTCAATAATTGTTTTATTGTCCTTAACCTACCATTTTACCATATGAGATATTCCTGGCTCTGTCTCCAGTCCTGAGTTGTCTTCTCTTTGAAGCAGTATTTCCTGCTTCTTTGTCTGCTTAGAAGTATTTTATTGAATGCTAGTCATTGTCAGTTTTACATTATGTCATGCTGAATCTTTAAAAATCTCTTAAATTCAGTATTTTTAAGCTTTACTTAGGGATTCAGTTATTTGGAGACAGTTTGATTCTTTTGAATCTTTATTTTTGGGTTTGTCATATAAGCCTAGAATAGCCTTTTGGTAGGGTTGTTATAGCTCACTACTAAGAAAGAATAGTACTCTCTTAGGATTCTACTCAGAGCCTCATGTTTCATTTTAACTAAGTATGTATGAGCTCTTCTCAGCCCAGTGAAAACTCTAGAGATTATCTTGCCACCTTCTTTCTGGTGGTTCTCCCCCCAGCCTTAATAGTGTTACCACACACAAGTGCTCAGTTACTTGTGTGGCCATTGAATGAGTCTGTCATAATGAACTGAGAATGATAACACCTTATATGATAGGATATATTTTTGCAGATTCAACATGGAGAGCAACAAAGTTGGAGCTGGCAGTGCCAAAATAAATAAGATCTTCACCGTATCTTCATGAAGCCCCATAGCCTATTAGAGAAGAAACACATGCAGATGAATAATTTTAATACTTTCTGACATAGTGAAAAAATGTATATTCAAGGTACAATTGATGGAGAAATTAGAGAACAGGTTCATACTATTCGGATTCCTTTCCCACATTAACTGCCAAATATTCAGTAAAGTTTCTCCTTATATGAAGTGGGACCAGCAATATTTACAATGAGTATAAAATAATTCAGTAAATTTTAGTGAGTTTCTCTGAAACATTCAATGAAAATTGTAGTAACTATGTACTTTGGTTAAGAAAGGATAAAGTAAATTTTTTGTTGCTCTAATGACTGCAGATAAAGCTCAGAATGGAATTAGTTTGACAGATGAATGAGGTGTAGTAAATATTCCCTTTACTAAAATAGAGGTACATTACCCTTTAGTTCAGTGTTCAGTTTTCCTTTTAAACTTACAACCTATCTTTGCAAGTGTTTTAAGTCCTTAACAACGGTAGCTACATTTTGGATTTACTTGTATTATTTCTATGCCGTCTGTATTGTGATGGACCATTGAATGCTTGTAGCTCTACATTTGTTGATTTTGCTACAATTGTGAAGTGTTCTAAAATCATGCTGTGTGATAGTTAAAAGTTTTTTTTAAAAAAATGTTTGTTTCCTCAAATTATGTAAATCTAAAAGAAAAACAGAAATGAAGAGAAGCAGGGAGTGAGTGGGTATGGGGATGATTAATTAAGTTCCTGAAACAAAGAGAATGAATATCTATCTATCTATCTATCTATATACACACATGCATATTCATATATATATATATTTTTTTTTTTTCTGTTCTCCACTATCCATTTTACCACCACATACATCTTTTAAAAATATTGATACTCCTGGTGACCTATGTGTTGGGTCACATACTTGATTGTAAATATGGAGGGAACAATGCAAGTTTTATTACCAAAACCCCTGCAGCAGGTATCTGTCTCCCACCTGGCAGTATGGCACACAGATAAAAAGAAAGAGAGAAAAATCTGCAGCTGAAGGGGCTCTGGGATGACCCAGTGCTCTCAATGGGACAAAGGGCCAAGAGTCAGAGTACTCACTGGCTCTTATTGATACCAATCAGGGAGGTGAGTGGAGGTTGTGGCAGGGTGCATGGAAGAGAAACTCTGCAGGCATTGGCTGTAAGGAGAAACAGAACACTCTTGTACCAGGCACAGAGGCTCCTCAGTTAGTGATGCAGCAGATAACTTGATGTATGCAAGGCTGGCACCTTTACTGCCAGGAAGGTATAATTCTTTTTGAGTCTCAGAGCCTCAGCTGAGATGTTATCTCATGTCTTAGCCCTGAAATCTCACAGGTTCTTACTTGAGCCCGCTTCCAGCCAAGAGCATGGGGGGCTATTCTCGCCTGCATGCCAGAATGAAATACATTGTTGCTTCTGCTGCTGGACTAGTGACATTCTTTTAGCCAATTAAGGGAACTTCTACTTCAATATAGCCAGCTCTGCATATCTCAATGAATAGGGTTGAAGTAAAGGTCAGGTGAAGATGGAGGCAAAAGGCTTCATTTCTCAGGGGAACATGGCTTGGTGGTCTCCTACATTTTATGATTCAGTTAATTCTATAAAATTGTTAGAAAGCCAGATGTGGTGGTGCCACCTGTAATCCCAGCACTCAGAGGCTAAAGCAGGAGGATCATTGCAAGTTTGAGACCAGCCTGGGCTACAAAGTGAGCTCAAGGCCAGCCTGAACTGCATAGTGAGACCCTGTCTCAAAAAGACCAAAAATAATTGTTAGAGAGGATACAAATTAATTTTATCCTATCAGTTAAGCAAGTTAAAATCTCAGACATGTGTTACTGAATGTATTTTCATAAATAAAGGATTCAGGGCAAAATACTGTGAAGAGACCAAGTGCAAAACTCAGAATTGTGCTGCCCTTAGCATGACTTAGATCGTTCACTGTTAGGCGTCTTAAGTTAAATGGATGCTGCTATTCTGAGCTCTAATTCTTTTGTAATCGCTTAGATCCTTGCCAGAATGGAGGTTCCTGTGTGGATAGAGTAAATACTTTCTCCTGCATGTGCCTTCCTGGCTTCAATGGGGATAAGTGCCAGACAGACATGAATGAGTGTCTCAGTGAACCCTGTAAGAATGGAGGGACCTGCTCTGACTATGTCAACAGTTACACCTGCAAGTGCCAGGCCGGATTTGATGGAGTGCACTGTGAGAACAACATCGATGAGTGCACTGAGAGGTGAGCAGCTCATGTACTTGGGGCATTGGTGTCTGAAGGGGGAGAGGGAAAGAGGGGAAGAAACTGGGATTGTGGGGCAGGGAAGAGGCCTCTGCGTGGGTCCCACTCGAGAGTTACCTCTCATCACCCAGTTCCTGGTTCCTAATAGGCATACAATATTTAATTTTTTTTCAGTACTGGGGATTGAGCCCAGGGCTACATCTCCAGCCTCTTCTCATTTTTTTGAGACAGGGTCTCCCTAAGTCTCCAAGTTTTCCAGGCTAGTTTTGAACTTGTAATCCTCCCGCCTCACCCTCCCAGAGTGCTGGAGTTGTAGGCATGTACCACCACACCTAACCAGATAGCTGTATAGTTAGAAGGTCAGAGGTCAGAGGATGAAAAACTTAATGAAAAGCTTGAAAAGCCTACTTAGAGAACAGAGGGAGCTATAATTTTGTTCTTTTTTCCTTTTGGTCTCTTGTTCTAACAATTCCTGTTTCTTTGCAGATTTGTTACCATTCTTTAAGTAATTTCTGGGAAGTTTGTTCTATTTCTTTATATTATCAACATATTTGTTCTGTTTCTCTTTCATAAAAAAATTTAAAGTTAAGAGCATTTATTTACTATTTTTTATACACAGTAAGTTAGCTTAGTAATAAACAAATGATGTGGGAAACTACAGAAGAATAACATAGCCCAGAAAATTTCACTTTCCCTAGGAATCTACAGTAAGCTCAGACTTTTAAATATTCCTAAGCCTTTGGTTGTAGAAAGAATACTGGTACTAGTCTAGTTTGGGAGAAAGCAAAATTTAGTGGATAATAGGGTTTGGGGATGGTCAGGGGTATTGCTGCTGTAACATCTTATGTTCTAGAAACTTTGCATTTCAAATACCAAGTCAGAGGAATCCCTTTACTTACTGAGGTGGCTCCCTGTTTGCTTCTCAGCTCCTGTTTCAATGGTGGCACCTGTGTGGATGGGATTAACTCCTTCTCTTGCTTGTGCCCTGTGGGCTTCACCGGTCCCTTCTGCCTCCACGAGATCAATGAATGCAGCTCTCATCCATGCCTAAATGAGGGGACATGTGTTGATGGCCTGGGCACATACCGCTGCACCTGTCCCTTGGGCTACACTGGGAAGAACTGCCAGGTAACTGACTCCCTTCCCATTCACACAGCTCCTGCAGAGTCCCTAAGTATTACACATGTTCCTTCCTATGCAGAATAAGCCACTTCTAAAAAAGAAAGGTGTGGATCTTAGCCATAATTTCTTAATAGCTAGATTCCAAACTGGTGATGCTATCAATATGTGGATTAACAAACATAAAAATTTTTAAGAGACTGGTAAAGGAATGCAAACAAATGTGTGGGAAATAAGCACAAAAATGGAAAAAGCAACTGAAATAAAGTCTTCAAAGGTCAAGTACAGCATCTTTTTTTTTTTTTTGGCGATGTTGTAACAGTCTTGAAACTAAACTTGAGACATTTGTAGGACTATGAATGTACCTGAACAACATAATGCGAAGTGAAATAACTCAGACCCTCAAGCTTAAATATCACAAGGTTTCTCTTATATGAGAAACCCCAAATATAGAGAGCAAAATAAATTACAGATAATGTAAAAGGGAAGGAGACCAAAAGGTGGAGGCAGGGGGCAGGAGAGGAGGGGAAGAGGGTGAACAAAGAATTAAGCTGTGTTATGTACATGTACCAACTCCCTGTGAGGAATGCAATCCTTATACTACAAGCATATACTAATAAAAAATAAATTTAAACGTATACACATTTTCATAGAATCTTAGGGTAGAAGGGGTCTTTATAAGAAACAAATGTATCCTTTCAGTTCAGGGAAGAGAAACTGAACTCCAAAGAAGCAATATATGACTTTAGATCCACCCCAGAGTTAGACTTTCCCGAGGATCCAGTATATGGATTCCCAACAGCACTGTGTTTATTTATATGCTAACTTTATCCTTGCAAGAATGAGAGAATAATAGAACTCCAAAGAATTTGGGAATAAGTGCCAGAATTTAACTTGATGTGTAGGGTGCACTTGAGAAAGGCTTTGGTCCTTTTGGATGTGCAAACAACCCCCTCCATGTACTGAGCAGCTTGCTGCTGAGTCTGGGGCTCTGGAGCACGTTCTCCTGAGGGTTGTTGCTCGCTCTCCAAGGGTCTCACCCTCATGTCTTCTATTGGCCAGCAGTCTGTTTTGTGGCTGTGACATACTTCTCTGCCTTATTTTTCATAAATCTCATTTTCTCCCCTTTAAAATCAACTCTTTGACAGTTCTAGGTTTATTAACAGGTTTTAAGACTTTTTATTCACCTTCACCCAGACAGCGGTGGCTAAGAGCCATGTGGATTTTATGCAGGGTTTGCATAAGGAATATCTAAAAGCTCCATTTCTTTCTTTCTAGCCCTACTGGGTGGCTGTATTTGTAGAAATACTGAGGTCTGGAGTACTGAGAATAACTTTATCTATTGAGTTTCTTCAAATTCTTAAACTTCGGGGCTAAAAACTTTTTCAGTAGCAGAACAAAGAGAAATTTAAGACTATAAAAATGATGACCTGCACTTGGAACACTGGATCCAGTTTAAGGTTTAGATGAAGGCTTTTTAAAATAAATTCAAATGCTTTCCTTGATTTCTTGTAATATTATATAACTTATTTTCTTCATTTCTGGTATTTGGATTTTGATGTATCTGTATCCCTGCCTTTGCTTCAGACCCTAGTGAACCTCTGCAGTGAGTCTCCATGTAAAAACAAAGGCACTTGCATTCAGGAAAAGGCGGAGTCCCGGTGCCTATGTCCATCTGGATGGACTGGTGCATATTGTGATGTGCCCAATGTCTCCTGTGATGTGGCAGCCTTCAACAAAGGTGAGCTCTGCTCCACGGCTCAAGAGCCACCTATGCAAGTATAGACTGGTCAGTGGCATTTTCAGGGATGTTATTTATTGTGGAATAAGAAGGAAAGACAGATAGTAGTGAGGGGCACAGCTCTGGAGAAAGGGTAGAGGAGTAGGCTTAAGAGCTTGCAAAAGGAAAAGTATTTTAAAGGAAGCTAAGGCATTTTCCACTTTCAGAGCTGGTTTATTTTTAATACAGGTCTGGTAGTGAGAGTTGTGAAAAACTAGACAATAACATTTGATGTCAGCTACCTTCAATTTGCTCACCCATTAATTACTCTGAATCTGATGTGTCATTTTCCCTTCTGTGATGCCTCTTTTTCCCTCTGGACCTCCCAGGTGTGCTTGCCAAGAACCTGTGCAAGAACTCAGGTGCCTGCATCAACGCTGGCAACACGCATCACTGCCAGTGCCCACTGGGGTACACGGGAAGCTATTGTGAGCAGCAGCTGGATGAGTGCACGTCCAATCCCTGCCAGCATGGTGCCACCTGCAGCGACTTCATTGGTGGATACAGATGTGAGGTGAGGAAGACAAGAATGTGCCCAAGAGGTTGCACAACTCTTAAGAGCACTAGAGTTTTGAATTTAGCTGCTTAAATGTTATGTGTATGGTTTTTAAGTTTTTACTAGTCACCCTGCTAATGCTTCCTGTCACTATTTTCTTCAGCCTCCTTATGCAGTATGTTAGTATTTTCACTGTGGTCTGGAAAGATTTTTCTTAACAGGGAAACTGCCAGGATTTGGAACCGGCAGCTATGACCAGGTGCATTTCATGGGCCCACTCACCATAGTGGCTTCTAGAACTTCCCTGAGTGGCACCTGAGCTAGGATAAACCAATTTGAACAGTATCTTTTTGGCCCATATCACTTTTATATGTAATCATCAACAATCAGCTAATTATTTCCTCTTTTGAAAAAAAAGTGGCTCATCCTGTTTTACCATAGCACCGTGCTAAGCCACTGTAACAGTTTCTTTCTGACACTTTTGTATTCTGTTTAGGCTACTGGGCTTAGGGAGGGTGCCAAACCAATCAGTGGACTGATGTAGTAATCACATAATCCCAGCATTATACATTCTAGATCCAACCACCTCTGAAAAAGCCCCACCTATGACTACATGAGGCTTTGGGGAACATCTACACAAGTTAAAACAGGAAGCATATTGAAAATAACTGTCAGAGTATTTGTTCCTTTTTTTCCCGGTAAAGTGGTTTTTTCAGCTAGAAGACAAATAGATAAATGCCAGTAAGCTGGATATTGGCCCTCCCCAGGGTGATTAGCAAAGAGTGGGATGATTCCTACAGAGGAACCTATAAGAGCTAAGGGGGAGGGGGACAGGGTCATAGTAACATGCCAGATCTTACTTGCTCTTCTATTCTGTTTTCAGTCATGACCCAACATTCCTTGTCCTTTTCTGTGTCCGCTTTCTTGGCAGTGTGTTCCAGGATATCAGGGTGTCAACTGTGAATATGAAGTTGATGAGTGTCAGAATCAGCCGTGCCACAATGGAGGCACCTGCGTTGACCTTGTGAACCATTTCAAGTGCTCATGCCCACCAGGCACTCGGGGTATGAAATCAGCCTTACTCCTCTTCTATCTGAGCCATTCTCTGAGCTATAGATCAATGCTTAGTGTTGAAGGGATTTTTAAAAATTAGATCGTTACTAGCTTCATTACAGGCGTTTAATTCTGCACCCTGGTGATGTAAGCCATTTTATCCTCTCATGTATTGCTAGCACTGATCCAGTTCTTTTGGGTGGTTTGACATTTTACATTCCAGAAAACACAGAATATAATACTGATATAATATTACAACAAAATTAGCATACTCAGAAAGATTTCCTGACACTTCAAATGAAAGCAACTGATAGTCTCTGGAATAAATAATTCACATTTACCTGCATTTGTATAGGGGCAAGCCAGGTGTTGCCTCTGTAATGTAAGGGAATGAATGAAATGAAAACATCTGCCTACTTTCACAATCCCAGGGGGAGGAGGCTTACACTGTAAGGCAGTGATGGTTAACCTTTTAGAATTTAAAATGATACAAATAGCCAGCTGCAGCATGCATGCCATAGGTTTGACACTACTGCCCTGAGAAATACTACTCTATTACAGTAATGGGATGTAGCCCTACACTGAGTGTTGGAGTCATTTCTCTGCCGTGGGCACTGCTAGTGCCTCCACTTCCCCCCCAGGAACTCTGGCTATTATTTGTTAGGAGAGATTTAGTTAGGAAGTTCCAGTTTTCAGTGGCCTCTGGGGGAAAATGGAAAGCCATCCATAATAGTTAGATATTTGTTGTCCTCATTATCAAAGAGAAGAGAAAAGAATTTGAAAGAACTCTTTATATTGTTACAGACTTCTGTGTCAGTGAATTTTGACAATTTGTCTTCCTAGAGATCCAAATTGGGCTGAATTAAAATAGAAGAGTATTCTGCTAGTAGAGTAGTTACGTATTTGAAGAATGAGGTTAGAGAAGAGAAAACTAAAGGAAAACAGCCTTAGTTGAAAATTTGTCATGCGTGTAGGAGACTAGTGCTTTGTTCCAGAAATCCATCATTGAAAGAGAAGTAAAGATCAATTCCAACTCATTATTAAATTCATTCCTTTGTGTAATTGTACTTAGAATAAGTTGCATTTCTGGTGGTAGCTAGTTAAACCTTAAAACTGAGAACTTAACACAATATTATATATTGTTTTATTTTTATTTTTGTCACTCAAATGTACCCTAATATACATTCGGTTGGGCTACCTTTCTCTGTACTGTATCTGTGTAGTTTAAAACACTTGATTTCTGAGACTTCCAAAGGAAAGGAAGAAAGACAGACCTACAGGATCATGTAGCAGCTTTCACTCCCTCAATCTAGAAGTGACACACATTACTGTCTCTTACAATATATAGGTAAAAAATTACTTAATGATTTCCACCTGTCTTCTGAAGAGGCTAGGAAATCTTGGAGAGTACATAGATATGTACCTAACCTGAATTCTCTACTGTACTATAAACTTTTATGCATTAGACATGTCCAGTTCAAGAATGGGTCCTTTCATAAGGCAATAAACTTTGTATCTTTTCTAACCATTTCTTAAAGGTGGTTTATATTAATAGTTTTGTAATTATTATTCATTGTATTTTTCTTCTGGCACTTTGAGTGTCTTCCCCACTGTGTTTTGCCTTCCATGGTTTTTAATGAGATATCAGCTGTTAATATTGTTGAGGCTCCCTTGTATATGATATGTCACTTCTCTCTTGTTGTCTCAAGATTCTTTGTTTTTGTCTTTGGAAGTCTAATCACAATGTGTGCAGAAGTAATCTCTTTGAGTTTATTCTACTTATTATCATTGATCACGTAGTACTATGTGTGTTTGCATAGTGTAGAATATACTGTGTTTATTTATCCTGACTTAACATCCCCATCCACTGATAAATATTCTAAGAGACTGAAGTTCTATAACATCATTATGAGAGTTACCACAGTACTTGTTTCTGTCAGGATACCCCTGAGCTTTGGATCTTGGCCTCAATATTCTTCCAGTTCCCTAGTTCAAGGGTTATCTGTAACAGTTCTACCCATCCCTGCTGTTTTGCTTCAGGCTGAGGTTGAGTTCATTCTCACTTGAGCGAACTGTTCATTATTGGTGGTTCCATTCTGAAGGGAAGCTAGGCACAGCTCCTAAATGTCAAATATTCTAGGAGATTGGGCGCATATACAGGTTTTGTTTTTACTTTCTTGTTTTCAGTTAATTTGTAAATAGCTAATGTGATATATGCACATAGATGAAAAATATACATACATTAATAGAAAAGGCGTGCAGTAAAAGACACACTTTTCTCCAAGTTCTCCTTCTCCCACAAGCCAGTAATCACCACTTTGTTTCATGTATACTTTTGTAGTTTTTTAAAGTATTCTTAGCAATTTCTTTATGTGCATAGAAGCAAAAAATAAAGATATTTTATTTCCCTTAGTTTTTATTATGAAGATAGAATATTAGACACATTATTTTGCACTTATTTTTGAAAACTTAATTGGAGCTATTTCCATATTGCAATATAGAATTTCTTCAGTCTTTTTTTTTTTTTTGCTGCAGAATTCCCACGTGTCTTAGTTACTTTCTTGTTGCTGAGAGAAAATATCTGAGTCCCACAAGTTAAAGGAGGAATGTAGTAGCTTGTTTGTAGAGGTTTCAATCCATAGTCACCTGGCTCTATGGCAGAGGGCATCACCAAGGAGAAACAGTCCATAGCAAAGCAGCAGTAGGCTGCAAAGCAGCAAGCCTGCCTTCCCTCTCTCCTTTTATATTCTATTCAGGCTGGTGCCACCCACATCTAGGGTGGGCCTTCCCGTTATCCCACCGATCAGTGGACTAATTTATTTAGTACCACACATCGCTTCTTGGCCTTTTGGCTAAGATCAAGTGTAGTATTTAGTACCACACACACTTAATCGCAGTTTCACACACCCTAGATCCGGTTTGCCCTGAAAAACTCAACCTTGAATGCATGAGGCTTTGCACTATGTAAAGCATAACCATACCTAACTAGTGCCCTAGGAATAGACATTTACATGCATATAAGCATATTTGTAAAATAAATTTTCAGAAATAGAATTGGTAGTTTGAATAAGATGTATGTTTGTAATTTTAATTTTTATGATTTCTTTTATTGATGAAGATTTTCTTTTTAAACAGGTTGAATTTATCAGTTTTGTTTCGTGGCTTTTGGATTTTGACTTGTAGTTAGCAATACCTTACACACACTAAGGTTATAAAAGAATTCTCCCATATTTTCTTCAAGTGCTAGAATCCTGAAGCACTTTTTCCATATTGCTACTAACTTGTCCTTACACAGAGTACTGAATATTTGATTTATGAATATTTGATTTACTGAATATTTGTTTTATGCAATGATTTGAGATGGCACCTTTATCAAATTCTAAGTTCCCATGTATATTTGCTTCTTTTTCTGGACTTTCTTTTTTGTTATATTGTTCTATTAATCTACTAGTAGCTTGTTTTACTTATTAAGGATCTTCATGTTTTCTGTGGTTCATTTTTCTATGTAATTTTGTACTCAACTTGTCTCTGTAAGAGTCCTTCTAGTATGTTTTTTTGGAGTCACATTAAATCTGTGAATATAGAGGAAGTTTATGGGGCTGGGGATTTAGCTCAGCAGCAAAGCGCCTGCCTGGCAAGCGCAAGGTCGTGAGTTCGGTTCCTGGTACCGGAGAAAAACCAAAAAAAAAAAAAAAAGAGGAAGTTTATATCTTTCACAAGGAGTCCTCCTTACCAAGTCATGTTATGTCTTTCTATTTAAATCTGCTTTTGTGTCTCTCAGGAAAATTTTGAAGTTGTCTTCAGACAGGGTAGTGTGTTCTCATTAAAATTATTGCTATGTATTTTATGTTTCCAGTTGCTATAGAAAATAAAACATACTCTGTGTTTTTCTTTTTCTTTTTAAATCTTGTTTCTTTTAATGTGCACCACAAATGCAAATGGCAGGAATATATAACTATTTTTATAACTTTTAAGTTAATCATAGAATAATGTCTAGAAGTTATTGATAACTTTATTTCTTTCTAAAAACTGTTTACAAATGTTCATACAATGTAGCTCACTTACATTTGTGGTAGCTCTATTTTTAGAATAACCATTGAATTCAGCAGGATAGTCTCTATTGTTTTTAAATAAAGAAAAAAATCAGTGATTATAATAGTTAAAATATTTATCATACAAAATTTAATTTCAGTTCTTATCAATATTTTCCATAGTTTTAATCTACGTATTTACTAAATCATGTCTTTTGGGGCTGTTTTTGTATATTTTGAATTGAAATTAAGATATTGATGAAAAATTACGGAGCTCAATTTCCTTGTCTTTAGATGGGACAGTACCTACACCGGATAGGATAGTACCTACACTGTAGGATTCTATTTCTTTGTTGTGTGGGGAGAAGATGTGATGCCCTAACATGTCTTTACCTTTCCACATACTGCTCATCAGGAAGGTGGCAGCTCTTATAGACGAGTATACTTCACCCTACGTGGCCTAAAAGGTGCCACTGTAGATTAAGTAGTGTAGTCTGATTGATTAGGAAAGTCCCAGCAAGGTAGTTGTCCCTTGCTGGAGACCAGTGTTTCAGATATTTTCAAAATTCTGTATCCTCTCTCTCCTCCAGGCCTACTCTGTGAAGAAAACATTGATGACTGTGCTGGGGGTCCCCACTGCCTCAATGGTGGTCAGTGTGTAGACAGGATCGGGGGCTACAGTTGTCACTGTATGCCTGGCTTTGCCGGGGAGCGGTGTGAAGGGGACATCAACGAGTGCCTCTCCAACCCGTGCAGCTCTGAGGGCAGCCTGGACTGCATCCAGCTCACCAATGACTACCAGTGTGTTTGCCGAAGCGCCTTTACTGGTGAGGCCCCCCCATCACTCTGATGGAGGCTTTAGTGGATTGGGCCCTGTATGATTTGTCCCAGATTCAAGGGGAGTTTTTCCTGTAAACAGAAAGCTAGACCAGCTTAGTTGAGGAGCCCAGGTGTTTTGCTAGGTCTGTGTACTGTGGATGCTTTCGCCAATCTCTATTTTTCCCAAGATGTTATGTATTGATTATGTCATGCTGCTGTAGGGAAGAACTGAACAAAATAACATGTTTTTGTTTGTAGTAAATTGACTCTGGGAAAATTAAGCTGTATTTTAATGCCAAGCAAACAGGTTACAGAAAAGCCAATGTCACTGAAAAGAGATATCATAGGTAAAAATTCTCTGTAAACTGCCAATCCCTATTGAGGTACGCTGACTTGTTGTAGTTTGTCCTATAAAACAGAAGATACTAACAAAATGTAGTGAACAGTTCATTTACCATTTCCTTCACTGTATGAAACTAAAGTACCTTGAAGAACTGAGATGTGAGTTTCCCTTTTTTTTACATGTGCCTAGTCACTTTTGTATCTGTTCCTCCCTGTGGGTTGCTTTGGGGATGTGTACCTTGTGTTTACTGTGTAGACAGGAGGCATTGCATCAGCAGTGGTCCATCAGGTTGCCACCCACAGAATGTGTGCTTGATCTCCTTCGATTCCTGTTGGTTTAGAACTGAACTCCTATTCCTTGCTTTAGTCTGTGCCTGGCTCCCATAGCAGCGGGGTACTGTTCAGTAACTTGAGGTTACTATTTCTGTCTTTTAAAACTGCTTTTTATTTTCTACCTTGAGGCCGTCACTGTGAAACCTTCGTGGATGTGTGTCCTCAGAGGCCTTGTCTGAATGGAGGGACTTGTGCTGTGGCCAGCAACATGCCTGATGGCTTCATTTGTCGTTGTCCTCCAGTAAGTATCCCACTGTTGATTTAAGGGCTTGCTCTGTTCCACACAGTCTGCGACAAAACAGATTAAACCTGGGTTTTTCAAGTTCCTGAGTGGGGAGATTTCTCAATTTCACCTCAGATTTTCCCATGTAAAGCTGTTTAGGTAGTCCTAGGAACTGTGCAATTCCCGGTCTGTGGCTGTCAGCCTTCGAAGTACTAAGGAAAAAACCACAAGTGGTGGGATGTCCTCTTGAATTAAGGCCACTGTCTCTGCCCAGTATGAGTGAAACACTATTTTTAAACCATTGAGAACAAGTTGCATCTTAAGTTAAAAGAAAGCTTAATTGTAGTCATTTGTTGTGCAAATGCTTTTGCCACTGCCAAATGCTGAAAGTTCTTTAAAACAGACGTCACTCTTCATGGAGAAAGCTGAAAAGAAACCTTCTGGTAATCTCGGTTTGGGCTGAGCAGGAAATACAAGAATGAAATGAGATATAGAATTCTTCTAGCGATCCAAAACTTCCAGTAGGGTCTCCCCACCCCAACCATTATTTCGGAGTGAGCTAAAGGTGATTAGGGAGGTGCCTACAGATACAAGGTTGCCCAACTTTCCTACCATGACCTGTGGACTTAATTCCTAAACTTAAAATGAAAAAACTCTACAACCACCCGTGGAACCTTCACTTCTCACCTACTGGCTACCTCAAAGATGTCATGTCCTAGAATGTGGTCTAGGAGGCAACACAGCGTGATCTTAAACTAAAGGTCTAGTCTAGTCTTTATCTCTATAGTATGGAGGAGAGGAAGTTGATGAGAGAATGGAGCAAGTCTTCAGGTCCATCCGCCATCCTCATTTCTTTATCACTTTCCACAGGGCTTCTCGGGAGCAAAATGCCAGAGCAGCTGTGGACAGGTGAAGTGCAGGAAAGGGGAGCAGTGTGTGTACAGTGCCTCGGGGCCCCGCTGCTTCTGCCCCAACCCTCAGGACTGCGAGTCAGGCTGTGTTAGTAGCCCCTGCCAGCATGGGGGCAGCTGCTACCCCCAGCGCCAGCCTCCGTATTACTCTTGCCACTGCTCTGAACCGTTCTGGGGTAGCCGCTGTCAATTCTACATGGCCCCTACCAGCACCCCTTCTGCCACCTGTACGAGTCAATATTGTGCTGACAAAGCTCGAGACGGTGTTTGCGACGAGGCCTGCAACAGTCATGCCTGCCAGTGGGATGGAGGCGACTGTTCCCTCACCATGGAGGACCCCTGGGCCAACTGTTCCTCTCCATTGCCTTGCTGGGAATATATCAACAACCAGTGTGATGAGCTGTGCAACACAGCCGAGTGCCTATTTGACAACTTTGAATGCCAAGGAAACAGCAAGACCTGCAAGTAAGGGCTCTAGGTTCTTCACAAGCTGAGTGGCACTCTCACTAACATGGCATGATTTCTCGCTCTTGCTCCTAACAAGTGCAGTGCTTCAACCCAAGCTGCCTCTGTACTTAAGATGGTGTCAGCCTTGTTCTGTCACATGCTACCCTGTTCTCTCCCTTGCTGCAGAGGCCAGGGATGTTTGTTGCCTAACCATCCCTCCCTCTGCCTATCTCTGCCTTCTAACCTGCTGCTTTCGTGATCTCCTGGGAGAAATAACCTTTGGAAGTGGTGTTACTCACGCTCAGGCAGCCTCTCACATAACCTGTCCACAGGATGGATGGAAAGGTCTGTACCTCTCTTCACTCATTCCTTTCCCTAAGACTGACTTTTACCGTCTGTATTCATCTGAAAGAATGAGCTAGATTAGGGCCTGTAATCCTTCCAGTCTTTGCTGTTGCAGTTATAGGATGCTTTGTGGTCTACATAGTAACCTTTCTATTAACCATTCCATCTAACTTAACCCTAGTTAATTCCCAGCTACCTTCTGAGGTATAGATACTGCTCCCAGGTGAGGGAACTTTGGATCAGAAGGTTAAAGAACTTGCTAAAGCACACATAGCTCTTCCTAACTCATGATCTTTTCATTGAGCTACACAGCAAGTTGAGTTGAATAGTACAGATGTCAAGGTATGGGGTTGAGGAGGAGAAGGAGAGTGTAGAAGAGCAGTTTGTGGATCATTTAGGTTTGGGGGTTCTGTCTTCTTTTCCCAGCATTTGAAAAGTGACTGTGCAAATTTGATCCGGTACCAGTATGGAACATAACTCTCTTTACCTTCTGTAGTTGGGATTCATTACTAAAAGGGAAAGAAATGGGCCATGTTGACAAGGTTCTCTGTATAACAGCTCTTGATGGTTCAGAGTATAGAGCCACCTTGGACACTTTTACTTCCTAAAGTCCTTCAATCTTGGGAGAAGTGGATAGAAATTAGAGGATATATGAATCAGGCTGACTTTAACTTTAGACTTTTGTTTAAAAAGCTGACTTAACAAGACTGTGAACTGCATGGGAGCCCTGAGAGCCCTTGCAGCATAATCAGCACAGTGTTGTTCCTCGTCGAGGGAGCAGTCAGTAATGCTGAGTGGCGTAGATTACATGATTCCAGCCCAGCTTCACAGGACATTTAGCTCATGATACAGGCCACAATAGATGGGTAGGAAAATCACAATCGTTCCAAGTGGAAAACTAAGTAGTTCTGGTCTAGTCTGAATTCCTTTCCCTGTTGTTTCTCTCCTCTGCATAGGTATGACAAGTACTGTGCAGACCATTTCAAAGACAACCACTGTGACCAGGGATGCAACAGTGAGGAATGTGGCTGGGACGGGCTAGACTGTGCTGCTGACCGGCCTGAGAACCTGGCAGAGGGTACACTGGTCATTGTGGTGCTGATGCCCCCTGAGCAGCTGCTCCAGGATGCTCGAAGCTTCTTGCGAGCGCTGGGTACCTTGCTCCACACCAACCTGCGCATTAAACTAGACTCACAGGGGGCCCCCATGGTGTACCCCTATTATGGGGAAAAGTCAGCTGCCATGAAGAAGCAGAGGATATTACGAAGGTCTCTTCCTGATGAACAGGAACACGAGGTGGCGGGGTAGGTTTTTGGTTTTTAAACTTCTTTAAAGTTTTTATGGGAAACTGAGCATTTTGGTACACAAGGCAAAGTCGGAACTCAGCCTATAAAAATGCAACACTTAGACAAATAGAATGGCCTAGCACTTAAGGCAAGCCGGAGAGCCAGTGCTTATGTTTAGGAATGAAGATTTACCTTCATTGTGGGATCCAGAAAGGTGGGCTGAAGTGGGAGGGAAGATGTTGGGATCCCTAATCTTCTCAAATGCTGCAGTCCCTAATCTTTCGCCAGAGTTGCCTCAAAACCTTTTGTTGTTGAAGACTTTTTTTGTGTGGGAATTGAACCTAGGGCCTTCACCCTAAGCTACATACCCAGCCCTTTTTATTTTTTTATTTTGAGACAAGATCTTACTAAGTTAAATTGCCCAGACTGAGCTCAAACATGTGATCCTCCTGCCTCAGCCTCTCCGAGTACTTGTATTACAGGTGTACACCACCATGCCTGGCTGTGACTTCTTTTTCTGTATTAATCATTGTCTTCTTTTCTTTTTTTTTTTTTTTTTTTGGTTTTTCTCCGGTACCGGGAACCGAACTCACGACCTTGCGCTTGCCAGGCAGGCGCTTTTGCCGCTGAGCTAAATCCCCAGCCCCCATTGTCTTCTTTTCAAGGCCGCTTACCTACATTAAGCCTCTTTGACAAGGGAAGTAATCTTCAGTTATTCTGTCTACAGTTCACTGTTGGTATATACCACAATTTTCAACCCTCCAGATAGCCAAGGTGTGAATGTGGAGACCTAGGAGAATAAGGGCCCAGAACGTTCAGTGTGTATTTTTAGCGTACCACTGAGTGCACTGAGCACGCAGGAAAAGGTGGAGGACCACTGTGCCACGCTGAGGGAAGTGAGACACCCTCAGGGTGGGAATCAGTATTTAGAACCTGAAGGGACAGTGTCCTAATTTCCGAGGCCTTTCTGAAGGCAGCATCCCAAGAATGGAGAGCCATAGGCCATGGGGTGGAAGGTTTATCTAATCCTCTCTGCTTCTGCCTCAGCCTGCTGGACCTGCTGCAGCCTTCTGTTTTACCTGCCATCTCTCATCTTCCTCTTTGCCCTTGGCATCCACAGGTCTAAAGTGTTTCTGGAAATTGACAACCGCCAATGTGTTCAAGACTCAGACCAGTGCTTCAGGAACACAGATGCAGCCGCAGCTCTGCTGGCTTCTCATGCAATCCAGGGAACCCTGTCATATCCTCTTGTGTCTGTCGTCAGTGAGTAGCTTTGGTGCTAAGGGGGAATGATTGGGGAAAGACATCCTTGGGGTACACACTGTAATACTCAGCCCTCTGTTTTTTAGGGTTAGTGACATCAAGCAGCCCTCTAAATGAATTTAATGCTAATGTCAAGAAGTTAATGTTCTATAAACACTGACTCTGTCTTTCTGAACTTTCAGGCGAATCCCTGACTCCAAAACGCACTCAGCTCCTCTATCTGCTTGCTGTTGCTGTTCTCATTATCCTGGTTATTATCCTGCTGGGAGTAATTATGGCAAAACGAAAGCGCAAGCATGGCTCCCTCTGGCTGCCTGAAGGTTTCACCCTTCGTCGAGACTCTAGCAACCACAAACGTCGTGAGCCCGTGGGACAGGATGCTGTGGGGCTGAAGTAAGTGGATTTACCAACAAGCCATAATCCACACTAGTATACAGGAATGAAGAGAAAAGCATGTCTTACCGAATCGTGATGTTAAATTCTAACCCTAGCCATTAATCTCACTCATCCAGTGACTGTGAAGCCACTGTTAGGGTGTCAGTGTCTGGATGCATCTTTTCTGTTCGTATATGTTATCACTGTGCTGGCAGCTTCTGTGTTGGGGCATACTTTTCTTGGAAACTCTTGTTCAGTGTGAAGGGAAAAATTGAATGCTTGCATGTAAAATTTTGCCCATCCTTTCTGGGTCAAGGCCCCCTTTCTGGGTCAAGTGAGAGCATAGCTTTGGGAGGAGGCCAGGGTGGAAAAAGTGTTAACCTCCACTCTTGTTGATGCCGTAATCTCTACTCTTATTTTTCCCCCTTTATAATTCTGTCAAAGAAATCTCTCTGTGCAAGTTTCGGAGGCCAACCTGATTGGTTCTGGGACAAGTGAACACTGGGTGGATGACGAAGGACCCCAAGCAAAGAAAGCCAAGGTAAACTGGCCTTGGGACAGCCACCATTGTTAGCTACCATCTAGTCACAGTCCACATTTCTCTTCTGTGGTTCTAGAGTGCCCTGAATGGGAGGAAAGAGTGATAGTTTTTATATTACCCAAGCAATGGTTAGCCCAGGTTCCCATGAATAGCACGGAACCTTAGGGCATTGATGACCTTGGGTTAATTATGTATGTTTTTCAAGAATTCTTAAAAGTAGTGAAACAAATGTGCCTCTTTCCTCAAGTACCCTGCTAGTGTTATTTGAGTCAGGACTGGTATCTGGGTCAATCTCTGTAATTAAGCAGTGAGAAAAGTCAGTGGCTACTGATGTCAGAGGCTACACATCTGAACCTAGCCGACTAAAATTGTGTGGAGCGAGAGCTACATTGGGCTAAAGCTGATGTGGGGAAGAAGACCTTTGTGCGACAGGAGCCAGCAGAGAATGATGGTGCAAAAGTCTGCTCCTTAGTAGTTGGCAAGTTACTTTCCTCTTCGAATTTAATTTTTCTTATGTGTAAAAAGGATAATAAAAACTTCTTTGGGAGTTGTACTAGGATTAAATACAGTGGTATAATGTCGCCTACCTATTTCAGGTCACATACTAAGAATTCAGTAGAGTATAGTTGCTTTTAAATTGTATAGTCATCATTATTCATGAATCTTCCCTGAGTGCTTGCTTTGACTGGATTCTATCTTAAGTCCAGGGAGGCAGCTTTGAACAAGGTTTCTTCTTTTCAAGAACTTTCTAGTGTGCTGGTAAAGGCTATCACATAGTACCATGTAAGTGCTTAGCACATAGTCAGTTAGCAGAGGAAAGCAGAATACACTTTTTAGGACCAATAAGAGGAATTAAAGTCTATAATTTCTTTTTTGTAGAGTGGATAGCAGTTAGAGAATTGGGGTGGGCGAAATCATTGTACACTGAGGGAAAACATAGGCAGAGGCCCAGAAACAAGAGTATGATGTTTTAGAGATTTAAAGATAGCATATTAGGGGGTCAAGCCTAGACTTTGGGATGGGGAGGTGGGGAGAACTACCCAGATGATTGAAAAGAGGTAAATGGGAGCCACATCTTGAGAGTAGGGAGCTAAGGTGATTGATGAAATTGAGGGGCAGAACAGGAAGAAAGAGAAAACTAGCTGGAGGTTAAAGGAGGTGGCAGGAGACTGTGGCCCTTCTCTCTGTCTGCAGCCTCTGGTAGTGGTCAGATCAACAGGGAATATTATTTCCCCTTTCAGGCTGAAGATGAGGCTTTGCTCTCAGAAGAAGATGACTCCATCGATCGACGCCCATGGACACAGCAGCATCTTGAAGCTGCGGACATCCGCCGGACACCGTCATTGGCTCTCACTCCTCCTCAGGCGGAGCAGGAGGTGGATGTGCTGGATGTGAATGTCCGGGGCCCAGGTCAGTACTGCCAGCCTTCTACTTTCACCAGGAGTTGCTTGTCTTTATTCTACCTGGGTGGCCCTATGTTCGCCCCACCTGGCCGTGTGCTGTCTGCCCCACCTGGCAGTATGCTGTCTTTCTACATCAGTTTGAGGAAATGTATATGTGAGGAATTATAGGCATACAAAAATTATGAAATAAGAAGAAAGGGAAGGATTTCACATTGTTTCGTGTGCAACATACTGAGAAAAAGGCTCATTGAATGGGTCAGATTTTCTTGGATAGAAAAACATTATCTCAAAACAGAGCGTAGAAAATTGGTTTAGTTATGTCCTGTGCATATAGTTCTCTTAGTATTGGGTATTTAAAAATGTTGTACTTGAGAGAAAAGCTTATTCACCTTTGAGAAGAGGCCCAGCTCAGAAAGACTCACTTACCCATTATTCTTTTATAGAAATGATATAATCAGAGGAGAGGTAGGTGACAAATGGAAGCTAATCAGTTACAAGAAGGAGCACAAGAAACTTCCTTAAACATATCTTCACTCAAATAGAAGTGTTTCAACAATAGGGTTAGTTTCCTTCTCCTCCTTGAATACTTCCTGGAATTTTCCTTTCCTGCAGATGGGTGCACTCCGTTGATGTTGGCTTCTCTCCGAGGAGGCAGCTCAGATATGAGTGATGAAGATGAAGATGGAGAGGACTCTTCTGCCAACATCATCACAGACTTGGTCTACCAGGGTGCCAGCCTCCAGGCACAGACAGACCGGACTGGTGAGATGGCTCTGCACCTGGCAGCCCGCTACTCAAGGGCTGATGCTGCCAAGCGCCTCCTGGATGCAGGTGCAGATGCCAATGCTCAGGACAACATGGGCCGCTGCCCTCTGCATGCTGCAGTAGCCGCTGATGCCCAAGGTGTCTTCCAGGTAGAGGAATGAGAAGTGTTGATTTGAACAATACAGATTTCTCATGGATCTATGTTTTATCTGTATTCTGGCCCTTAATATTTCACTGAATTTATTCAATAATTTTTTGAGAGATTAGTCATGCTTGCTCGGTAGGAAAGAAGAAAAAGCTGACATACTAAAAACAACCAGATGATAGAGCCAATAGCAAATGCCACAGTCTTCAGATTCTTAGCAATATTTTCATATACAAAAATGTCTCTCAAATGCACAGATTGAATGGGAGCAATATTTTTACCAAAGCCCTTGCCTCATATTAACTTTTCCCAATAGATCTATCTGACCTGACTAATTGGGCTCCAAGCTGCTTATTGGCCATTTTGTTGACATGAGTTGATGGTGTATACTGTGATGCCCTTTTATTTTAGCCTTATGATGAAATTGAAAGCATTGTAAATCACATTAGGCTGCTACACTTCAAAATTGCGATATTCCTCTGTGATGCTGTGCTTTCCTTAAAAGTAGAAATACATTGCTTTATGTGGGCAATTAGGTTTGGACCCATCTCTTGGTTCATTCATTCATTCATTCATTCATTTATTCACCATTTATTGATTGGCTATGATAAAATATTGGGCACAAAGATAAGATTTTCCTGCCCTTCAGGAACTTACAGTGTACCCTCAGTGCTAATGCTTTTGTTTCCTCTCTTAGTTTCATTATTTTGCTCTGTCCGGGTAACTCTTTTCTGAACTTCTCCTTTTCTAGATTCTGATCCGTAACCGAGTAACTGATCTGGATGCCAGAATGAATGATGGCACTACACCCCTGATCCTGGCTGCCCGCCTGGCTGTGGAGGGAATGGTGGCAGAACTGATCAACTGCCAAGCAGATGTGAATGCAGTGGATGACCATGGTAAGGACAAGAGGGGGAGGGATTTGAATTCTTATCTGCAAAGCACACCTATGTAGGAAAATTGTTGCATGGTCCTTAAAGAACTGTTTCAGATCCAAATGCATTGGAGAGTCACTCATTCTTTCATTCATACATTCATTCACTCTCCCTTCAAATGTTGAGCTCAGAGAACTGAGCCAGTGGGGAATCCCTAGATTTAGAATGTGTTCTTTTACTGTCTGTCTGCTTACAGAAATGGCTTTTCCTTGCAGGAAAATCTGCTCTTCACTGGGCAGCTGCTGTAAATAATGTGGAGGCTACTCTTCTGCTGTTAAAGAATGGAGCCAACCGGGACATGCAGGACAACAAGGTATGGGCTGTGAGCTTAGAGCTTGAGTATGCTCTTGGCAGGGCCTCACATACAAGGCCCTTTCTTTTTGCCTCTGTAGCTTCTCCTGTGATCAGTACAGATAGATTTAGAAGCAGGGTGGGCAGGAACTGGGTCAGGACAACCTGATGGAGCTGGATATTGAGCTTATTCCACAGTGTGTCAGAACTCACTCTCACCAAGCTGTCCTGCAGACAAGTCAGTGTGACTCACCTATCTTCTCTCTTCTCTGATGTTTCCTCTTCTATGATGATGTCTTCTGTTATACTTGCTTCCTTTTCTCTTGTTTGTTTTCTTTCATTTTTTGTTCTTGGCTCTTGTTTTGTTTTTCTGTCCTTGAATGTCATGATGGTTTCTTAGCTGGTTTTCTCCCTCTGAATTTCTGTCATGTTCCCCTTCCCTAATTCATCTTCTCTCATTTATTTCCAGTTTCTAGTTCCCTATTTTAGTTCATCCTTGCACATTTTGCCTCTTCTCTCTTTTATTCTTCCTCCTATTTTTCCCAGTTCTATGCACAGTTTAGTTTCTTCTCCTTTCTTATTTCTCACCGCTTTTCCTCTTAGAACTTTAGACAGATAAGCTTAGTATTCTAAAGCAGTTTCTGGCTCAGAGTCTTGGTTTATTTCACAAATTCCTGAGGGGGCAAAGTTGGTCCAAAAAAGTATATAACTTTTTATACAATCCACAGATGTATATACAGTATACAGTGGGACATGCAGTATTTCTGTGGTATTAAAATTTCATGGGGGAGGCCCTTAGCAAAATGTGTGTAAGGGAGCTGATAGAAGATTGACACATTGGTGTATTCTTAAAAGTGGTACTAAAATATGATGCACTGTGGGTCTTTTCTGTAGGAGGAGACTCCTCTGTTTCTTGCTGCCCGGGAGGGGAGCTATGAAGCAGCCAAGATCCTGTTAGACCATTTTGCCAATCGGGACATCACAGACCACATGGATCGTCTTCCCCGGGATGTGGCTCGCGATCGCATGCACCATGACATAGTGCGCCTCCTGGATGAGTACAATGTGACGCCGAGCCCCCCAGGCACTGTGCTGACCTCTGCTCTCTCACCTGTCATCTGTGGACCCACCAGGTCGTTCCTCAGTCTGAAGCACACCCCAATGGGCAAGAAGCCTAGACGACCCAATGCCAAGAGTACCATGCCTACCAGTCTTCCTAATCTTGCCAAGGAGGCTAAGGATGCCAAGGGTAGTAGAAGGAAGAAGTCTCTAAGTGAGAAGGTCCAACTGTGTGAGAGCTCAGTGACTTTATCCCCTGTTGATTCTCTTGAATCTCCTCACACATACGTGTCTGACACCACATCCTCTCCAATGATCACATCCCCTGGAATGCTACAGGCCTCACCCAACCCTATGTTGGCCGCTGCTGCCCCGCCGGCCCCAGTCCATGCACAGCATTCACTATCTTTCTCTAATCTTCATGACATGCAGCCTTTGGCTCCTGGGGCTAGCACTGTGCTTCCTTCTGTGAGCCAGCTACTGTCCCACCACCACATTGTTCCCCCAGGCAGCAGCGGCGCAGGAAGCTTGAGTAGGCTACATCCAGTCACAGTCCCAGCAGATTGGATGAACCGCATGGAGATGAGTGACACCCAGTACAATGAAATGTTCAGCATGGTCCTGACTCCTACTGAGGGTACCCACCCTGGCATAGCTCCCCAGAGCAGGCCACCTGAAGGGAAGCACATCACCACCCCACGGGAGCCCTTGCCCCCTATTGTGACTTTCCAGCTCATCCCCAAAGGAAGCATTGCCCAGCCAGCAGGGGCTTCCCAGCCTCAGTCTACGTGCCCTCCAGCCATTGCAGGCCCCCTGCCCACTATGTACCAGATTCCTGAGATGGCCCGTTTGCCTGGTGTGGCTTTCCCCACTGCCATGATGCCCCAGCAGGACGGGCAGGTAGCTCAGACCATTCTCCCAGCCTATCATCCATTCCAAGCCTCTGTGGGCAAGTACCCCACGCCCCCTTCCCAGCATAGTTATGCTTCCTCAACTGCTGCTGAGCGAACACCCAATCACAGTGGTCACCTTCAAGGCGAGCATCCTTACTTGACACCGTCCCCAGATTCTCCTGACCAGTGGTCGAGCTCATCACCTCACTCTGCTTCTGATTGGTCAGATGTAACCACCAGCCCTACTCCTGGGGGTGCTGGAGGAGGTCAGCGAGGACCTGGGACACACATGTCTGAGCCAACACACAGCAACATGCAGGTTTACGCGTGAGTCTGCATCCAGTGTAAAAAAGTAACTGCCTTTTGTAAATGCTGCTGTGAAACAAATGAAGGTCATCCGGAAGAGAAATGAAGAAATCTCTGTAACCAGCTTTTGAAGTCAAGAAAAAGAAGATGCTCCTAAGTTTCAGATAATGCACAAGAAACAGTTAATCAGCTTTACTGAGTATCTGCAGGGTTTTAGGGGGAGGACATGGCTCCTTCTAATCTCTTGCCCATCCAGCCAAGTTCACAGACACGCAAGATAGATACAAGCCTTGGGGCCATGTTTACTGTCTTGTTTGGAGAATAAGATGGATGCCTTTTTAGCCCAGACATTTTTGCAGTTTGGACTACATTTTAAGCCCTGAGGGCTTCTGTATATCCATGAGAAGATTCTACACTAGAGTTAATTGGGGATTGTGCCCTGGAATTCTGCCCGAGTTGACCTCTCACATCTTCTCAGCCTTGGAATTCTTTTGACTGCATTTGGTGTTTTCCTTTGTGCACCTCTCAATGGTTGGACACCCACCACCAGCCTATGGTGGGACAAGACCTTTGTTCTTTTAAGCATCTTCAGCCTTACTTTCCTCTCCTATTTTCTTCACATCCTTAGGAGCCTCCCATGGTTTACCTTGGATTTGATTCTTAGTGTAAACCCTCAAATATGTTTCTGTAGAAAATGGACATGTTGCACTCTACACATATCATTCCTAGGAGAAAGAGCAAATATTTTTCTTTGGATCAGTATCTGGAGCAGGAGATCCCTTCAAGAGGCTGCATGTTAATTCTATTTCCTGCATTCAAGACTTCATATAAAGCTTACCAGAAGGAAAGATACATGCCAATTGTTTGTTTATTTGTTTGTTTTTTTGGCTTGATCTGTGTAAAGTTTTATTCTTTGTTGCCTGGATACTATGATCTTTTTAAACCAGAAAAGGAGAAGAGTTAGATGTTGGAATTACCAAGAGATAAACTAACTCATGCAAGAAGCAGTTACTATCCATAGTTCCCCCTTGTGCCAAGCATTCCATGACTGCCACTGTGAAACACATTTGTCCTGGATCTCCGAACTCTAGGCCTGCTTTCCTCACTCATCCTTATGAAGTTAGTCATAGCTGTTGAGCCTTTCTGTACATCTCCACAGAAGAAAAAGTCTCAAACAACATATCCTTGCCATGTAGGATTGAACCTTCTTTGGCTCAAGAAACCCAGTGACAGCCATCTTCCTTTTGATCATAGTTTCTACTTCCTGATTTTCTTCCAGAGCAGAAACCTATTTACAGCTTCCCTCTGCACTGTGATCTGAGTTACTGGTGTACCCAGTAAGTTCTGAATGAAGACATGGATTTTCTATTTCCAGAAAATGGAAAATTGGACTTCTGTAGGGTGCACTATGAGGCAGCCTTTAGTAGTTTTTGCTACTCTTCTTTTTCATCTGAAACAGTAAAGACATTCCTCTTTTCGCAACTAACATTGAAACTTAACAGGGACTTTTTCCTTTCCCAGAGGCTCGTGGATGATAATGGATTAAAGACTTGCTTGTCACTGTCTCCTTTACATTCAGATTACGATTGCACCTTACCCGAATCTGTTCTCTTGACAGTTTCCTCAGCTCTGTCAAGAACAGAAACATTTTAGTTAACTGTGGGAACAGGAAAATAGTGTTCTTCCTCTTCTCCTTGAGTCAATTAATAATTGGTCCTATGGCTATGTTGTCATTTCCATCGGTACTGTTATGCCCATGACATCTGGAAATTAGTTTTGTCAGGGCATTTTGTATACATTATTAGTAGATGTATTGCCTGTCTTATTTTGGTTCAATGATGATCTTCATTCCTACAATGTGTGTGTGTGTACACCAGTGCTTCCCACCTGTCTGTCTGTGTGCACACCCATGGGAGCCATGTCTTGGCATGGTAGTCTACAAAGAGTTCTCTTCAGTCTCTTTCAACTTCATTGAACAGCAAAAACTAGTTCTGCTCTGATGTACGCAGATTGTTTACTCATTCTGTTTTATTCTCTGCGTGGCGCCCCTGTTACAGTGTGTAAACACAGTCATTCTAAATGATAACTCTTTACCCTGGAGTCCCTTTACAACTCCCAGATGGGGAGAAGCCCATGAACAACTCTGGAAGATGCTGCATCGCCCCTTGCTTCCTTTCTGTGCCAGCGCCACTGCCTGAAAAGATCAGCATGCGCTTCAAACACTGAATCTTTTATACCCCCCCCCCACACACACACACAGTGTGGGACTAAACAGCATATTTTTCCTTCTTGGGATACTTTTATTTGACTTATTTGGGTTTGGGGCAGTGGAGTGTGAAAAAGCTGCCATTACAGACAGCTGACTCCAGTGATAAGGAAGATGACACTGCCTCTTAAAAGTATTTTGCCAATCTCTTAGATCTAAAGCACCATGGAGTTGTGTAGTATCTAATAAAAGGGAAGGGAAGATAGAGAATCACTTTCTCATTTGGGTTCTTAATTGGATACTAAGTTTTTGTGGGTTGTATCTTTTATGCCATGCATAGATCTTTCCATTTTTTTAAAAAATAAATTCTTCCTTTCTTTGAATCCTCTTTGCCTACCTTTAAGGATAGGTATTTGTTCGTTTGTTCATTTGTTTTAAGCATCATTTTCTGATTTACATGAAGGTGGGGGAGGGAGAGGTTTGAGGGAGAGACAGACTGAGCGTTAAAGATTTTAACGTAAGCAGCTGTGACACTCAAGCCTATTTTATCATTTTATTGTTAAAATATGTCAGTTTGTAATTTCTGCATAGAAAAGAACCAAAGGTGTATTGTTTTATTGGCATGTGGTTTGGGGACTTGGGCCTTAACCAATACATTGAATGTATGATGACTTTAGGAGGACACATTTGTGGCCTGAGGCCCTCACCAGTAACTTTTTGGTACTATGGCAACTTCCTAGTGTACATTTCTCTTAAAGTGATACTATATCTGTTTGTATGAGAAACCTAGTAATCAATAAAATGACTGCATATTCCTGACTAAGGAAAGTGCACACTTTGTTTTTACTTTCCAAAATTTCATTCTAAAAGTAGTTAAGATGAAATTTATATAAAAGCATTTTTATCACAAAATAAAAAGGTTACATGTCAAGCTCAGTATTACTGCATTTTTTTTTCTTTCCAATTCTGTATTCCTGACCTTACAGTGTTTACTTCATGATGTTGTAATTTGATGACAGAAAAATAATTTTCATTCTGGAACCTATTACTAGATTTCTCCTTTCCTTGTGTAGTCAGATAATAAAAAAATGCTTCTGAGGAAAAAGTTTCCCATCAAGTCAGAACATCATAATGTTGAGCTTCTCTTCCCTCCTGTGCACTCATTGTGGCTAGTGACCAGCTGCTGGTGCCTTGCAGTGGAAAAGCAAGAACTGAGCATTGCGATACAGGTAATAATGATGTCACCTGAACCATTGGTTTGTAATGTTTTACCTCAAAGTTTGAGTAGAATGGGATACATAGTACTATAAAATAGTATTTCACATATAAATTTACTTCCAAGTTCACGTTTATATTTTTAAATGTACTGTAAAGTCAACCAGTGAGATAGTTGGACATGAATATTTGGTGTTGATGATATGTATGATACTAGCAGTCTCATACCAACTTTAGCATCTAGTTTATTTCCATATTCTGCTGCTTTACAGGAACTTCTGAATAACACATGAATAATTATAAGTGGTAATAGTGTCTGTTTAAATGACTTGGTTCGGAGTCTTGGGATATGCTTCAGTGAAGCAGTTGAAGGAGCTTCATTGCCCAAGTATGTCAACATGGTAACGTACTGGTTCTTCTCGGTGTTATAATTTTATATGAATTATATTTGAATCTTTACATGAGTCTTATAATTGTGCAAGAGGATGAATTTGAGGGCTAAGAAATGACCATCCCAGCAGGCTGGCCTTCTCAGAGCTAGAGTTCCTTCGAGAATGAAAACTTGCTTCACAGAAAACTGCTTCAGTGGATCTGGGCTGAAGGCTACTGGTCCACTGGCCACACCCTCTCCCTACAATTTCAGTCCCTACACCCTCACCTGAAATTCTGCAGGGAGCCTGGATACAGCTGGCACAATAGGCTTGGATACCTGGCCACCACCACGCCACCTCCCTCCATCATGCAGCTAAACAACCTTATACCCCAAAGGTTAGGGGTAGGCGGCTGCTCTTTCTGAGCATGATGAGCAGAACAGCTTTCCTTAATAGCTGTGCGCTGTCAAGGATATGGCCCACAGAGGAGCTATTAGCCTGTTACTGCCTTTGCCACTAAGTTTTCCAGCCATCAGATGTATGTGAGGGTGCAGGTGTGTGTAGGGTTGTGAATGTATCTGAAACAGAAAACAGCTTTTCCTCCCCAAATGCTAAGTGTAGGCACAATCACTTAAAGATACCTCAAAGAGGGCTTATTCATTACAGGTTTAATTGCAGAGATGTGTGAGGTGTAGGGGAGCCACAAGGGGAATAAAGAAAACCCTGCTAGCATCAAGGAGGCTATTACCACTCCTACGTCCACAGGGGCCATGGTGGGGAGAAATGATGGATCTAGAAGGACAGTCCCATAGTGCAGGGTTCCTCAAGAAAGGCGCTGACTTCTGTCAATATGTGCTGTGACCCCCCAGGTCTTTTGGAGGAAGGTGAGGAACAAGTACCCTGTCCCATTTCCCACACCACCTCTACCCTTGGAGGTGAGTCCAAGTGGAAGGTTAGAAATATGGCAGTCCTGGGGCTGGGAACTTGGTGGGGAAGGGAGGAGACTAGATCTGAAGGTGCAAGCACGTCATTGTTTCAGATTCTTTTCCTCCTGTTTCTGAGAAACTTCTGCTGGCAGTCTGTCACTGATGTCTTAAGGCAAGGAAAAAAAGGAATTGGGTATTGATTCCTGACTTCACTTTTCCTGACCTAGTAGTAGATTTCTCTACCCCTGTGGCTTTTGAGTGCCCAAAGGAGACAATCGGCAGTCATAGGGTGGACAAATATGTTGCCTTCAAATGAATCTGTATAAATGAAAAAGAGCAATATACAACAACAGAAAGAATTGTCATAGATACAATATTGACCAAAATGGCCAGACACCGAGGAATGCCTTTTACACAACTCCACTGTGTAAGTTTAGAGAAAACAAACCATTGGGAAAAAGACAATCTAAACTGTGAGTACCTTTTTGGAAGAGAGGTCTTGCCAAGTGCAAGAAGAATCTGGAACCTGAAAAATGTCTTGATTTTTGTAATAATTGCATGGGTTTATGGATATGTAAAACTACATGTAAATTTTAACTTTGACTTACATGTTTTAATTAATGTAAGTCATGCTTCAGTAAAACATATCTACATTAATCTACAGAAACACAAATACCTAATACTGGAAATTTTAAAATGTTAGTATGTCATCATTTTTGTTTGAGATATTTATTGAGGTAGTGCTTGCAGGGTAACACTCTTATATTTCTCTCTGGTTCTGATATAGGGGAAAGAAACTCCCAGCCAGCTAGATACCTGATCAGAGTTCATGTTCTCTAAAAATCAAAGAATGAATTTGAGGAACAACAGAGGTTAAGAGCTGAATATAGAGTTTCACCATACAAGATGGAAGGAGTTCAACAATGGTTCTTATACTGCATATTGTTGTTTTCAGATCAGTCATTCTCATTACCAGATTCAAGTGTGCAAAATTGGTCAAGGAAAAAAAAATTTTTAAGCATAGACTTTTCTTCTCAATAAACCACAGACATCAGCAATACACCTATCCCAGCTATCCTTGTATATACATGTAAATTTTGTTTTTCATTTAAAAAAAAAGAAAAAAAACCCAAAATAACAAAAACAAATACATAAACAAAACAGCATAGAGAACAATAAAAATGATACAGAATTTCAAAACATGGTGATAGGCTATTAACAATGGTTGTTATATAATGTCATTTTCAAAATGGTTGCACATATAACCAGATAGAGGTTTGCAAGACTGAACAAACAATTACACATTAACAGTTCCTTTCAATAAACCAACAGGTATTAGTAGTACAGCATCATTTCCAATTTTTTTTATTATTATTACTTGATCAATTTTACATTCTTATGTCTGGTGGACTGAGCAACTTTGTTGAAGATAACAGTATATAATGTAGCAACCGTTGTTAATTCCTATCATTTGTTTTGAGCTCATATATCGTTTTCGTTGCTTTTGTCTTACTTTGATTTTGTCTTCATTGTTGTTAGTTTTTTTAATTTTTAAAGTAAAAAAAAAGGAAAAAAAGATGAGCAGAATGTATTTATTGATGGGAAGAAAGCTTCTGTCCCAGACAGAGACAGGAGGGGACCCGACTGAGTTGCCAAGGAGCCTGACCCTGCCTTTCTTAGCGATTTTATAGAGCAAAACCACTAGGTGAGGCAGGTCTAAGGTGGGGAAAAATGGGAAATTGCAAGGTAGGCAAGAGGTGGGACAAAATTATGGTCAACGGATAAGATTACAAGTATAATTGCTCAGGTAAAATTGATCAAATGGGGAAGCTAGTCAAGTAGCAAGCAGGCATGAATACAGAACGGGCTTTTTCTGTAGGGGGTTAGGTTAATGACTTCCTGGCTTTTTCAAGGTGATGATACCTATTTACAATATCAATCCCTAATGTCCGTCCCTAGGAAGGTATGTGGGTGCATTTGTTTCATCTTTTGTCTTAACGTCTGACCCACAGCAGAAGTGCCTGTCTCTCCCACAATCGCAAGGTATCTTGTCTGCCATACTGGCTCCTCGAGGGCCCAGCCTTAGCTGACCACCTATAATATTTTTATCTAACTCAATTGCCTACAAATCCATTTGACTTGTTTTCTTATATCCTCCTTCCTTTCCTATTTGCTTCCAAAAATTTGGTTAGTAGGGGTTATCTTCTTGATTATATGAAGCATGAGACTGAATAATTACAAAATTAGTTGAGCAAGATGAGTCAGTGCAGTTAGCTTGCAGGGCAGGAGTTCTGGGCTCCAGCTGAATAATCCATGTCTATCTGGGTCCCAGCTGCTACTTGGTACTATGCAGTGGCATTTGTTTGCCCCCATATAAGTGTGTTTGAGGGGATTCTGGGTTTTGTAACCTGGTTGGGATTTTCAAGACTCATTGTGAACTATCACCTTATTCCTGTGCCTATTTTCAAAACATTTAGGCCAGGCAAATACTAGGGTATAGAGATCCAACCCTTGCCTCTGCAACAGAATTGGTTCATGCCTTTTGGTCTCTCCCCTTCTCACTCTTTATTTTTTATTTTTTTATTTTTTTTCCAGTACCAGGAATTGAACTCACAACCTCGCACTTGCCAGACAGGCGCTGTGCCCCTGAGCTAAATCCCCAGCACTCCCCTTCCCTTGCAGTCTCTTTCCCTTGCTGTGTGCGAAAGGTTTAAGAGGATGGACCTGGCAGAAGATGGACATCAACCACAAATCATGTTATATTGGAGTCTGCTATTTGTGGTTATCGCAAGGTTTTACATATAATAAAATTTACATAATTGGAGGAGAGGTTAGTAAGACTGTATACACAGACAACCCAAGAAAAATTATTGGAATCCTAACTATAAACCATTAGGAATTAATAAGTAGCATAAAACTAACATCGAAGATGTTATAAACAAAAACCAGTTGGGCAATGTAATTGAAAAGATCACACTTATAACAACATTTGTAATAGCACATATGCATGCACATCCCAATAACCTTCAAAATACTATAAACCCCAAATATTAACATCCTCTGCCTGGGACCTGGGCAAGACCCCTGACTACCTGTATGAGGGGTATGGTGAAGTATGAAATAAAAATATAGACAATTTTAGGAATGCATAAAAGAGGGGCTGGGAGTCAGTGCATCAGGATGGGCAAAAACAAAGACCTCTTAGGCTGGCCCACTTTTATTTTTTACAGTGAGAAGTGCAGGGAGATGCAGAGGGTATTTTTCCTGAAATGGGAACAGTAGAAATAGGAACAAGTTTAACATCACAATAGAAACAAGTTAAGATCTTTTCCCAGCCCTGGGTACTTGCCCTCCCTGTGTTGTCCTCAGCAGACCTCATCCTGCCCTGTGAATGCCACAGCCTCAAAGGTCTCAGCACT